CATGTGTCCGGAGTTGAGCTATAAAGTGTATCTAAAAAACCCTTTTTTTTATAATAGAGTTTGTGATAGAATGGTTAGAACCTATACCTGTGTTGTCGTTATGGAGAGTCAACCCTCTCTATTCATCAATTAGTGGCAGTGAAAGTAAGGAAAAGAGAGGAAATCTTCTGATGGGGACAATTGTTCCAGTGACTGTCTAAGAGGAGATTTTCCTCACTTTCAATAGATTTACTATGACTTTTCGATGTGTCTACATGATAAGAAGTGAAGGAGAGCCTCCTCAATTAAACATAGGTGGCAAAAAAAAAAACCGGAAAGGGGTTTTAACCATACCATGTTCTAGCCAAAATGAAAGAAAGAAAACTGTTTTGGCTTTAGATACACTGTGGGGTCTATTATGTATGTGACCGACCAGCTGCCGTCGGCTATTCACTTCAGGCTGGTACGGTTGATCCCAGCATGTTCGGCCGACCTGAAGTGCAGAAGGAGTTCGACTCAGCCGATCCAACATCTGGATCGGCTAAGCCGAACCTCCGTCAAGCTACTCGCTGCTGTTCGGTCTATTGTCATAGATGCCGAACAGCGGTGAGTGAATAGCCGAATGCCGCCGAGCGGCATTCGGCTCGGCTATTCTGCCTGGTACCTCTGTGGTACCGAGCAGAATAGAAAAACTGTTAAAAAAGTAGAAAAAATAAAATAGACGCCCGAAGCTACGGCTAGATCCTTCGGCTGTTTTGTGAATAGACCCCTATAATTTTGAAATAGCTTGAATTTGATCATTCTATGGCATGCAACATAATAACATGATTCAGAGAGTATGTGACCGACCACTGCAATAATCCTGACTATGAAAAAGCAATAATACAATGACATACATCAAAGCATCATAGCTATATTACTGTTTTTCTCTAGTGCAATCCCAGCCTATTTGCAATTTTGGACACAGTGGGGAAGGGTTAGAACCTCTGTCACGTTTTATTGCTATCTGTGGTTTTATCAATTACATTTCCTTTCACGCCTTTCATGTCTCTGAATGGCAATGTTTTGATTATGACAGAAAGTGAAGGAAAATAATCAGTGTGAATACAGATACGATAAAAAAAGACAACAGTGGTTCTAGATTTTTCCTGCTTTGTTTTTTTTGTTTGCTTCAGGGTTTGCATGGGATTTTTCTTTTTGGCTTGCATTCTGGCATTGAGAAACAAATTAGTATGCATGTTTGGAAAACCAGAGGGAAAGTAAAGGAAAGAGCCGCAGGCTACATTTTGTTAGACCACAACCCACAGAACTGCTTAGATCTTTTATTTAAAGAGGAAATATGCCATTTTGCATATCAAATAGTATGTAGCCTTTTATCCAACCAACAGAGATAATTTGTTTAAGATGAAATTGACACAGAGAACTGAATGTGTGATACATACCTTGGCTGGCACAGTCTGAAGTATCAAAGAGACGGGGCCAGCCTCAAAGCAGCTACTTCTGTTGTGCTCTGGGAATCCTTTGTCTCGCATGAATTGTTTGATTGTATATGCATACAGTAAAACAGATGTACTGTTTGTTTACAAGACAAAATGTACCTGCTTGACCTTTACCCATAATGTAAAGTTCAGGGATTGAAAGAGCTTGACAAGGCTTCCATTCACCTTATTCCATATAATAAAGAAAATAGATAGTGCGCCACACAGCTTCCAAATTCCAAGGCTTCTTAGAAATGTAACTACAAAATACCACACATTGTAACCGCTATTGCGTTTCAGCCTCTTCAGACCTTAATCATAGCTGGGTAACTCTGCAAACAGAAACTTTTGAATTACATTTTAATAAAAAAAATGTAATGATTGTTATACTATGCAGTGGAAGTGGTAGGTGGCAGATTATCCACACATTTACCCTGAAGGGAGAACTATTGGGAGAGTGAAATACACTCATTCCCATAGTTAGAGCCGACGTGTGACACTGCAGCTGTCACACGACTCTATAGATCTAAAACCGCTGATCACAAACATCTGATCACGTTGTTCACGATCTCCGCGCAGAGAACAATGACTGTCAGTCACCCCTCCTTCCCTCTCCGTTCCCCCCAGCTCTGACTGGAGAGTCAGACGGGGAAGGGGTGAGCACCGCTGTCAATCAGGTAGTGGGGTGGCTTTGCGTGGCTTTGCGCTCACAGCATATAGTGGGTAATATTGCATGGGGGGGCGGGTGGGTAGGGGTGTGATAGGGGCGTGGCAGGTAGGGGGCATGGCAGGGGGGCCCAAGAAAAGGTTTGCCCATGGTCCAATCAATATTAAGGACAGCCCTGGTCCAATGGACTCAGGTCCCAATGGGAATGGAGGTCCTGTTGGGACCTGAATTGTTTCTTTAAATAATATTGGTGTTGCAGTGGGATTTAGGGGCATAGTAGTGAAGGCATATATATGCATACAGTAAAACAGATGTAAAATATCAGTTTTCAATGTTTTAAACTTCAAAGAATATTGGTACTTTAATTACTAACACCCTTTAAATGTTCGCTTGTACTTCTAGCACCGCCCACATCTGATACTTATCTGCCCTCTCTCCTTTGAGATCTTCACTGAGCGCTGCACAGCCTCTTCTCCACTGTTTAAATAATAGAAGGCATTTCAATAGGAATTAAGGCAGGAAACCTTCAGAGAAGAGGCTGTATGGCTTCTAGCCAAGATCTTGGGGACAGCAAATGATAAGACATGGGCAGTGGAGGGTGGACATTTAAAGTATAATTGTACAGTTATGCTTTAAAGTAATTAACATAAAGTTGAATTAAAACCAATTTTGTTTTGATTTAATTACCTGAAAATGCTAGTTGCCTTGCTCTCATGCTTGTCCTCTGGCTCAAATTCTTTCTGACCCAATAAGTTCTGACTTCAATTGCTGTGTAATATTGGCTCTTGGGACTCAGCTGACCAGGGTAAAGGCTGTTCACTGCATTATAGGTTGTTCATTATATCTGGCCAGAAATTTGTGATTCATGAACTTTGTGAATCCTTGTGAATCTCCATTAACCCATGGTAGCTGCCAACCTGAACTTCATCACTAGTCTTCAACATATAGGTAGCTGATCCATGTGACTTCCCAAGTAGTGTGATATCAGTATAAGTTTGTCTGACTCTTTGGGGTTGATTTACTAACCTTATAAACACACCACGAACATGTATACACCTCTGTAGTGTGTTCCCTCCCAGCATGATCTATGGGTGGAATCTAAACACCTTTGTAGTGTGTACACACCCAGCAGGTGTGTTGTGCAAAGCCAAGCATGAATTGCAAGGTGATGTTGTGTAAATTAGCTCTATGTTGTCTTGCTTGCGTTGATGAATGCAGGAATGTAAATGCATGAGCTAACCATTTTTGTCTAAACTGTGAAGCAGCTATTCTGACTCCGATTGTTGTGATAGCGATATATCCCTTGTGAGACCTCTATGCCTGGCCTGTATAAGCAAATATACTCACTGCGGACAATCCTTGTCAGATAGCTGAACTCACCAATACCGATTCATTCAAAAGGAGCTTTATTCTGAACATCAAGGTTACAGCAGATGATAGGAACAGCAGATGAATGGTTTCAGTATTGTGCGGTCAAAAAATGATGCCTTTTCTAGCGTACTATGTAGAGTACGTGTGTCCTAGTTACATGTGGCCTGTTAGCTATGGCCATGACACAGGAAGTACTGCTCTCAGGAAGAAGGGTGGGGCTTGCATACAGAGGAAATATGTCACAAAGGGAACACAGAACATGTTTGATACCAAGAAAGGCCACTAGATGGCAACATAGGAACTAAATATAGAATGACTATAGAAAATGGTATAGGGAAACAATCTATATAAATTCTCATCTACTAATAATGCTAATAACATATTCTATGCCCTATTGGGGCGGCACAGCAGCATTATATATGCATCATGTGCATGATTTTTCCATATATGGCATTAATGGAAATATGCTTTTAGAGACTTTTTGGTTGATAAATACGTTTTGCCCTTTTAGTCATTTATTAGCGCATGCTGCTAGTATTGTGAAGTTTTTAAAGATAATGATAACCAGATTTTGTGTTCATGTATTTGTATGCTTCAATCAGGAACTACAAAGGTAAATCAAGCAACCTGAAAATAATACATTTGACATTTGTCTCTGTGCATGCTTCATTTTTAAAACTAGATTTTTATGTGAAGTGAATCTGTCAAGCATGAAGAATCATAGGTTTGTGGAATATACTGAAACAATGTAAAAATCATTTTTATCATTCAGTTGAGTGTCAGTGCCACATAATTATCAGTGAAAAATCAGCAGCTCTTGATTCCTTCCGGAAACGCGTTACTGTGCTGCCCAATCACTGCAAATAATTGTTTAGAATTGCTGTTCCCAAAACATTAATTATTATTAAAATTGATCTTGTCATTGACGGGCTCAGCTGAATCTTATCACTTTAATTAATGAAGTGTTGCATGTCTAATTTTTGTTTTCTTGGAGACAATAGGGATGATTTGCTAATCGAATTGAAAATCTTCACTCAAAATTTTGTGAAAATTGACTTTAATTATTTAATCATGTGAAAAACATCTGCACATAACTGGATATTCAAAATAACCAGGAATTTTCTTTTCACATGATTAGAAAAATGATGTGAATATTCAATATGTTTTAAGTAAAGATTCTCAACTCCTTTAGTAAACAGTCCTAATTTGTATTCAAACAATTCAGCCCTGCAGTGTAAACAATAATTGTCTGTGTAGTTTGTATGTCCTGTAACTTTAATTTCAAGTCAGTTATTTTAGCTACTAAACTTGGCACTTTGTTTTCCAGATGCAAACAAAAGAATGGGCATTACTTTGCAAACAAAATTATCTACCCTGTTCAGAGGATTTTTCTCTCACCAGCACTTTGGGGGAACCTGTGAAAATCCGAGCATGGAATATTGCTGGTTTACCTTCAGACAGCTTCTCCATTGATAATGGAATTATCATTTCGTAAGTATGCGGTTATGATCATGTGATGTGTTTTAGAAATAGACAGAAGCCTGCAATACATAACTGATTCATATTCTCTGTCATTTTCATATTTTATGTTTATAGTGAGGTTTTATATTTTTTTTACTTTGGTTATGCATGCGGTTAGGAAAATGGCACCATTCAACTGATATAAATAAATGTATGATTTACTGTTGAAAGTACAAGTGCATTGTAAAAGTATTTACAGTATATGTAAAAGTATGCCTGGTTGCAAAGAACATACAGACATGCACAAATTTGTTGGAACCCTTCAACAAAAATAGAATAACCCACAATTAAGATTTAACTTTGCATTTTAATGATATCCAAGTTTCAGTGACTATTATGACTCGAGTCATCCTTTACTTAAAAATAAATTCTGTTACCGAAATCAACAATGAGGGGTCTATGCGCGAAGCAGCCGAAGGATCTAGCCGTAGCTTCAGCTGATCCTTCGGCTAGCTTCGGCCCCAGGACCCCTTCGGTTCAGTGGAACTGAAGGGCTGCTGTACGGGCTGTTCCCTATAGCCCGTACAGCTCCCGAAGTTGGCCGAGCGGCTCAGCTAACCAGGGACACTGATCTCCAGACAGCAAACTCTCCCGGGCGCTCCGGGAGTCTCCCACCCCCGGCCGCCCAGGTGAGAAACACTTTTTCCAAGAAAGGTTCACTCTGCTCAATCGAGCAGAGTAAAACTTTCCCTGCTTTTTTTTTTTTATTCTGACATGGAGCCGTTGGCTGCCGTCAGAATAATAAAAAAAAAATTCACCATAGGAATGCATAGCTAGATTCCTATTGGCTATTTCAATTTGCAATAGCCAATGGCAAACTAGCTATTGCACCCCCCCCACTACTGCTGTCAATCAGCAGAGGGGACCTGCAGTTCTCCATCAGGTCCCCTATAGTGATTGACAGCAGCAGAGCTAGTTTGCTATTGGCTATTGCAAATTGAAATAGCCAATAGGAATCTAGCAATGCATTTCTATGGTGAAAATGTTTTTTTTTCTTTTTTTTGATGGCAGCAGAACCGCCGGCCAATAGAAAACAGTTGGGTGGAGCTAGCTGTCACTGCTAGCTCCGCACAATCGTTTTCTATTTCTTTTTTTGTACTTTTTATACTATTTTTCTGTTCTGCTCAGTCCCACAGAGGCGAATGCAGCTCAGCCTACGGCAGCTTAGTGAATGGACCCCTATATTTTAATTTATACATATAATGGTCAGTGGCGCCCAGGGCCCCTGGTCTCTCCGCCGGAAGTGTCGGATCATCCGTTCACCCGACACTCCCGGCCAGTGGCATAGTGAGGGGGGCCGGGGGCGCCGGCTCGGCCGGTCGCACGAGTTGACATGGGGAGGGGCCCAAAAAAAATCTTGCACCAGGGCCCTTTGTTCCTTAGCTCCGCCACTGATAATGGTACTTTATTTAAACACACTATTGTCCACTCAGGCAGTGGGGAAAATAAGTACTATCTTACACTTCCAAGTGTGTTGTATTCTTCTCTTTCTAGCTGCCCTACAGTTGCTACTCCTCCTTTGGCTGCCATATTGGTTGTAAAGACATAACTGCTTCCGCACAAAAACTCAGGGGGTGGGGTGTGATAGGGGCATGGCAGGTAGGGGGCATGGCAGGGGGGCCCAAGAAAAGGTTTGCCCAGGGTCCAATCAATATTAAGGATGGCCCTGGTTCCAATGGACTCAGGTCCCAGTGGGAATGGAGGTCCTGTTGGGACCTGAATTGTTTCTTCAAATAATATTGGTGTTGCAGTGGGATTTAGGGGCATAGTAGTGAAGGCATCTGAGAAAATTAGTGAGTCAATCACACAAGCAGGAAATACATTTCTGGAGCTTTCTGTACATCAGCTCCTCCAGGTTGCCATATTGCATTGAATTTCTAAAGCAGTGGTCTCAAAGTACCATCCCGCGGGCCAATTGCGAGCCGGTACTATGTGGCCCACAGCCAGCTGACAAGTCAGGTACGTGGTCACGGACCTGACTTGCAGGAGCAGCTACAAGGTCTGCATCTCTGTCGGATGCAGACCGCAGAGCTGCTCCTGTCACCGCTGGCACTCAGATCCTTTCAGCTGGAGCTCAGTTCTGAAAGAAAGGATGGATTAGTGAGGTCTGCAGCAGCAGACCTCACTAATCACCCACTAGAGCACCAGGGATTGTGCCTCCTCACAGTCTCCTCCCAGCAAAGAAGGGAATTATTTTATATGTGGGGGCTGTATTTTTTTATGTGTATGGGGGGTGTATTATTTTATATGTGGGGGAGTGTATTTTCTTTATGTGTATGGGGGGAGTGTATTTTTTTATATGTGGGGTGTGTGTTTTGTTTATATGTATAGGAATCCCTAATCTGGCGTATACAAGCGGCAGCTGTCACCCATTCTAATTAATGATCAGGTGACAGCAGCTCCATGTAAACGCCTGCACACTGGATGTAATGGTATGTGATATGCTTGCATTTGGTTAGGAAACCTGGATTGTGCATCCAGGGAGAGTGTTTTCTAACCGCATGTAATCATATCACATACTATTACATGCGGTGTGCAGGCGTTTACATGAAGCTGCTGTCACCTGATCATTAACTTGAATGGGTGACAGCTGCCGCTTGTAAACGCCAGATTAGGGATTCCTGCTGCATGAAAATGCAAGTCCTAGATGCAGGAATCCCTAATTACACCTAAACTTACAGGTGTGAATAGTGACTTGTGTGTGTATGTGTGGTGTCCATAGTACCATACCGGATATAGTTAAATTTAATTTTGAAGTATGATATTTGCCAAGCAGCCCCCATGGGAGAAATAAATTTGTCGAGTGGCCTCCGAATGATTTAAGTTTGAGACCCCGGTTCTAGAGGTTCCAAACTCTTTCTAACCCTTACACAGTGTATTCAAAAGTAAAACTAAGTGTTGGCTAGAATTCTACTTTAAGGTATGAAGCAAACAACAGATATCACAATAGTTTCTTTAATAACATAGTGAAACAAGTCAAATAGTGAAAGAAGTAAAATATCCTTTTGACACAGCAACTCTGAAAACTTTGTATCTGTCTGTGTCATTGACAAAATCTTGCATTTAAATGACAAGTTTGGTATGTTTTTATTATTCTACAATTGTCAGAAGCTGGTTTTTTTTTGGACATGATGAAATGTGTCTGCGTGTGCTGGCATGATAGCAAAGTAAGAATTACATTTCAGATAGTGCTTGCTTGGGTATCAGGTCTTATTTAAATGCCAGGGCTTTTGGACTGTAACAGAGCTGACAGATCCAAAATCAACACTGCTCATTTCTATTTTAAGAAGCAACGCATATTACAGCTGAATACGTTCATAGCACTCACACTAACGGGTCTATTCACTGAGCTGCCTTAGGCAGCCAATTGAATGACCAACCTGAAGTGAAGTGAGCCGAACGCTGTTCGGCTATTCACTTCAGGCTGGTATGGCTGATTCGAGCGGCTAGATGCTTCGGCAGCTTAGTGAATAGACCCCTAAGCAACATCTCGTGTATCATTGTTATTTTTGTAGCTAAGCTTGATTTCTAAATCAGGCTCATAATCTTTTGGATTGGTTTCTGTAAAGTTTGGCAGCTTGTCTTCCTCCTGTATGCTTCCAAGTAAAAAACATTTTAAATAACTGATTACATGCATCAGGTAATTTAGATATCATTTTACAGTATGCCATTTTAAATGATTCCTGTAAGAAATGGTCTTCCATTGTACTTACAGGCTTTAAAAATGAAAAATAAAAAATATATTAATGTCTCCAGATGAAGATCGATGATGCAAAATGAGTGTGTCTTAACCTTTAAAAAATGCCAATAATGGTGTTTTTGTACAGTTGAAATTTTACTCTCATACTACTGAAAGTGACGATATATTTTACAGCTAGGTCAGTTATGTGATTTGTTCGTGAATCTTTGCTCCCACTGCTAACTTTCATCATGGGAATACATTTCATTAATTCTGAACATTCCCAATATTATCTTTTTGCTAAATTTGGCACAATGATAGACATAAACAATTGTGTTTCCTTCTATTTCTAGCAGAGAGAAACCTCCAGGCAGACAGTGTGGTAATGGGGGACAGAAATGTGCTTTAGCTCACGTTATTGTCAATTTGAGAATTTCTAGTAAGTAGTAAAAGGTGAAAAGGAATAGCATATATAAGGCATCAACAGAGAGATAATACCAGCATTGTATTACAGATTAGAGGTGTTATTACAATTCATTCAGATTGACTTGGTGAGTAGTCATATATGACTTAAAGTGGAAAGGGGTGATATTCTTAGTTCTGAAATACAAAGTTCTCTTAATGTTATAGCTTGAATAGAGCAAGAATATGGACCATAGGGTATAGATATGTGGTTTGTAAATACACATGCTTTCATATAGGGACACATTTTTAGCATGTGTAGAGTTGTATGTTGGCTCTGGATATTCAAAAGCTGTAAGATAGCTTTGGCGTTTAAAATATTGTGAGGGGGATTTATCAAAACTGGAGCAGACAAAATCTGGAGCAGCTGTGCATGGCAACCAATCGGCTTCTCTCTTTTATTTTCAAATCTTAACTGAACAAACTAAAGAGATACGTTCGTCCGTTTACACACGCCTGCCCATAGACTTGTATAGAGCATCTGATTGGGTCTGGCTAAAAAACTGACAGGTGGACCCGATCGGACCGCTCATGTGAAAGGGGCCTAAGACAGGCGGGTCAGCTGGTGGGCAGGGCAGGCCAGGGTTACACCTTAATTTTTGAAGAGCCAGTAGTCTAAGAAATCCAGTGACCCTGCCATGTGACAATTCTTTAAGCAAGTGTCTTAAAAAAAACAACAACTTTTCTGCTGCCTGCACCACTGAATGCCATTGCTTAGAAATTGATTGCACACTATTCCTGAGGAATCGTCCCCCAAAATCTGCTGGGAAACTGACACTTCCCATAGCATTGATCTCCTGTGTTCCCTGCAGCATCACCTGATTCCTCCTGCTGACTTTCAGATTGCTGCAAGAGACAGTAGTGACAGGGAGGTCAGCAGGAGTAACCAGTGAGCTCTGAAGGGGACACAGAAGATTGACACTTACGGAAGTGTCAGTTTCCCAGCAGATTTTGGGGGGTAATTCCTCAGCAATAGAGGCATATTCAGTTGCGTGGCCAGCAGAAGATTTAAGTATTATGTTTCTTCCTTACAAATACATGCTTTGTTGAGACTTTCACTAAAGATACAGGGCCGCTTTAATTCTTCTTGTGGAACAAAGTTGAGCTGAAGAAAATGAAAAGAGTGTTGTATAATGAAAGTTTTGCAGCTCTTGACATGCAACTGTCAACTGAGTACTCTAGAAAGAAAAAAAGGTGTCTTAAAGATTTGGAGAAAGTATAACATGAGTTTGGCTGGTCACAAAGAGGTGATTTAAAGTTGTAGGCAAATAGAAAAAGATGAATTCAGTTAAATATTCAATAAAAAATGTAATGTTTTTTTTTTTTTTTAAGAAGCTTGTGTAAGTATCTGAACTTGACTTGGTATTAGCCTCTTGTAATTCCCTGTAAAGCAGCACTCAGACTGGAAGAGCAATAGGAGTCAATCAGGTATCTTGTATGTAAGTATGCTAACAAACATGCTGACAGGTCACAGTGTGACCAGAGTAGTGATCTCAATAAGCATTTTTGTGGAAAGAATCAAGTTGGAGGTAACGTTAGACAAGGTTTTCATCAGAATAAAGGAACTGAACAGGCTCGTGGGATATGGGCTAATTATGCCAATCCTTTTTTTATAATGTAAGTCGGAAAAGCATCTGGCCATGGGCTCTTGAGTGGCTGTATTGCAACATACACTTCTGTAAAAGTAACACTAAACTTAGGATTTAAATCTTAAAATACCTTCAAGTACCCTAACAAACATGTAGCTTATTTATACATCACTCAGCTGTGGCTCCTCAAATCACCTATAAAATCATGATGACACTGTCCTCCCTTCTGGAGGGGGGCTACTTTTGTTCCTCATGGACCCTGTGAGCTTTAAAGTAGCCACCGTTCAAAGCTCACTCCCATGATGTACTATAATTACTTGTTCAGTTTACTAATTTGTATTGAGATTGAAGTCCATCAGAGGAGTGAGCTTGGAGCGGTGACTACTTTACAACACATACAGGGACCATGAGCCACCCTCCAGAAGGAAGGACAGTGCCAGCACTAACTTAGAGATGATTTGTGGATCTACAACTGAGTGATACACAGATAAGCTACACTGAGTTAATAGTTAGGGTACTTGAATGCATTTTTAAGATTTAACTCCTAAGGTCAGTGTCATCTTAAGGCCTGGTTCACACCTACGCGACAGCGTTTTTGCGTGTTGTAACGCATGTTTGTGATGCGCTTTATTGAGCATTTTTATGCACTTTTTATGCACATACGGCAAAAGATGCAAGTTTTTGTGAGCAGATTGTAGCTCATTGATGTTAATGAGAAAAGGTGCATAAATGCGCATAAAAACTTGCAAAAACACAGAAAACTGGCGTTTTTAAGCGTTTCCTATTGAGTCTATGGGGCCAAAATGAGCTGTAATATGCCAAAAAAAAGCTCCTGTACTTTTTCCAGCGACAGGTGTTTTGCTTTTTGCGGCAAAACGGTCACATGTGAACAGGGCCATAGAAATGAATGGGATTTTTTGGGGCAGATTTTTGGCGTGTTCCTTAGGGCAGAAAAAGTGTTACAAAATGCTCATTGTGAACCAGGACTAAATCACATTGCAAGATATCAGGATCTAATAGGATTTGAGCTGTAGTTTAATAGAAGGGGTTGCCATGAATGTAATGATTTTACATTTCTAATCATTTTGCATAAGATTGTGTCTATTCCTCTGCCTTTTATTTTTTTCTTTTATAGCTCAGAATATGTTTTCACATTCCATAGTATGTTCTTGCCAGAGATGTACTTTTCAATAGCCATAGTAGCTTTTTTAATGTTTCAGTTGAAACCAAGCTAGAAGATTTTGTGCAAATTGAGGATAAAGCCACAGACATTTTAACTTTTCAAATCCTCAAAGTAATGAGATTTTACATTTAACAGTTGGGTAGTTGGACTTACAGCTAATAACACAAATTCCAATTTTGATGGCTTGAAAAGAAGGGGGTACCAAACATGATATAGCTAATTAATACAAAGCCTTGCATAGGTTATTCTGTTTTATTAGTTACAGTTATCAGTTAAACAATTTCCCTACCAATAGAAGCAATTACAATTAAATTTTCACTTTTGTAAAGTTAATTTGAAAAATTTCACTTGATAACATTCACCTTATCTTTAATCCAAAAGCAAGAGTTTACTTATCATTGTTATCTTCATTTGAATTATTCATGCTTTCTTTGATGTGATAGGAAAGAGATTACATTCAATAAGCCACACTAAAGAATGAATACTTATCGTGTAATGTATAAATAATTAGTGCTAAGTATTTCTATGAATGCATTACAGGAACGCCAGGCGATGGCCTTTGATGATTGATCCACAGGGTCAAGCAAATAAATGGGTGAAGAATATGGAAAAAGCCAACAGTTTACATATCATTAAGCTTAGTGACCCTGACTTTGTCAGAACACTGGAAAACTGCATTCAGTTTGGTACTCCGGGTAGGTATATGTGTATGCCAGGACATCAAATTGTTAAATTTGTTAAAACTACAGTTACTATAAAAGTGAGCTGTACTTTTTTTCCTTCTCATTTTGCATTGCTCATTAATCACATTAAAACTGTAATTGCTGTGTTAACGGCAGGTGGTGAAATCTGCATGTTCAAAATTTCATTTGTGGAAAGTTCCCTTAATTAGTTCCTTTTAATTGTTCTGTGAAGCACTGCATATTTATGTATTCATTTAATGATTTCCCTTGATGCAGCTGTTTTCTTAAAAATGCCATAGTTTATACAATAAAAATCATGACCTGTGTGTAGATAGATAGATAGATAGATAAACATATGTATGTCACTCAAATAAAAAAAAAACATCTTTCATTCTGTCAAACTGTAATTAATTTAGAAGGATGCTTCTGGAATGTGATCCAGTTTGCTTTCACCAGAAAAAAATTCTGACCTCCTAAGAAATGTAGATAACAATTTTTGGCCTTAAAATTTTTATTTAAAAAAAAAATCAAATTTTATTCCACATATTCACAAGCCTTTAGCTGGCCATACACCTTACAATTATCTGCAGATTTTCTGTGGTCAGATGGAAAAGGTGCAACAGATTCCTCCATCTACAGATAGTTCTGCAGATAATTGTAAGGTGTATGGGCACCTTTACAGTAATAAACTTTACAGCTGCAGATTTAATTACAAGAAGGGTTCCTGTGTCTTTTATATTGATGGTAAAGTGTGCAGTTTTCCTCCGCCATTTATATGTGGATGATAATATCCTTCTTAATTACCTGTTGAATTGAAGTGAATTAATTCAGCTAAGATAGTCTTACTTTATAACTGAGGTTATTCATAATATTTACTTGCCGTTCTCTATACTCTATACAAAATTGCCTGAGTCCATTAATTTCCCCAACCCTTACTGTTTTGTTGCATGCATATTTCTAGCCTTTAACCCCTTTATAATTGAGCTTTTTTTCAGTTTCTGTTCGTTAATGACTGAAGCACTTTTTACATTTTTGCTGTGTTATTTTTTCCATGGCAGTAATATACTTTCTTACTAAGTGCACCCACACATATTATATATTGTTTCTTAGAGGACAGATAGGGCAATATATTTATATCACACATGTGCCTAACACCTCACTAAATATGAATAAATTATTGAGGAAAAAATGTAAAGAAAACATTTTTTCCCCAATTTTGACTATAATTTTTTAGAAAAATAACAGCTAAAAAAATGCATTTAAATCAATTCATTTATTTGTCCTTTATTTGAAAACACCTCAAATGCCTAGGATTTCAGAAATGTTTTTGAACTTCTCAGCCTAAAACTGAAAGCTAACATTTTAGTTTTTTTCTCTAAAAGCTAATAGTGGTTACCAGGTTAGACAGGTGGCATACATTGTCACTGTCACTAAGTGACACTACGGTATCTATTCACTATGCTGCCGAGGGCAGCCGAGTGAATGACCGATCAGAAGTGAAGTGAGCCGAACACTGTTCGGCTATTCACTTCAGGCTGGTACGGCTGATTTCAGCCGTACATCGGCTGAAATCCGCCATACATCGGCCTGCTTCGAGAGGGACAACCATTAATTAACCTTAGTGACCCTGACCTGACATGCACTGCAGCATGTCAGGATCAGTAATGAATGTTACTGATCTCAGGGGTTACCGGCATTCAGGAGCCCTGAATAGCTGCTCACGTACAGTGGGCACTTAGTGACAGGGACGTACAGTGTACGACTCCTGTCACTAAGGGGTTAAATATATAATCTTACATTATATACATTGAACCTAATGTGTAATGCGTAAGTGTTTCCAGCACAACTTGTAAATTGGAGACATGCTCTGTGGATATCAATACATTAAAAGCTAATCTACAAAAACAAGCATTGTGGAAGCCTTTAAAGCACCTTTCAGGTCCAGTTTGGGGAAAGTAAACAGAGATTTTTAATGGAAGTGTGTACTGTCACTTTAAGCAAGCTGCTAGTAGGCTTCAATAGGCTTCAGCACTACTTGAAGCTTTTCCAAAGCCTTCTGAAATCTGCTAGCAGCAGTCCCATTAAGATATATGCTTAACATTCCCATACTTGAACTAAAGTTTGCTGAAAGCTTTGCAAACACTTTGCAAAAGCTTGCTGTACACATTGCTCTTTCACATACCGAAGCCCATATGTACAAGGCTCTAGTGTCTTACCTCTGTTCTGTGTTGTTGCTTAACTCTTAATATTTGTGTGAAGTTTTACTAGAAAATGTTGGAGAAGAATTGGACCCTATTCTTGAGCCACTTCTACTGAAACAGACATTTAAACAAGGAGGCAGTGTGTGCATTCGCCTTGGTGATTCCACTATAGAATATGCTCCTGATTTCCGGTTCTATATTACAACTAAACTGAGAAATCCACATTATTTGCCTGAAACCTCTGTCAAGGTTAGTTCAGATCAACTTTGTAGATGTGGTAGATGTATTAATTTATATTGCCTTAGGAAATCTGTCACAAGATATAGCCATTGGAGTGCAATTCTGATTCTCCTTCTGAAAAACCATAGTTTTTTTTCTATTCTTTATTTAAAAAAGGCAAAGCATGAGAAACCAAACATAAACATGATATAAACATGTAACATAATTGACATATACACTGAAAGATTCAAAAGAACCAAAGTACAAGATACAGCGAAAGCCGCACCCAACAGCAACCACAGTAAATGGGAATGGCAAATCCTGCTTATGTCTTTGAAATGTTTTCTTTTTTTGCAAGATAAAGATTAACTTTGCATATAAAAAATAAAACACAGGGAAATAGGACTAAACAAAAACACTACGTCACAGTCCAAAATTAGACCTGCATCCGCAGAACAAGGGAGTAGGACAGAGAAAGATCAGATAGAAAAAAGAAGAGGAAGAGAAGGAGAAAGAATCAGACAAAACATGACTCAGGGCTGCGTGGAGGGGAGAGACCCCAACCTCTCCACTAAACTGCATCTGCCAATCACACAACTTCTGTGGAGGCATCAGACGCACAGATCCGAGGGTAGGCATCAGACTCAGTGAAAAGTCACTCATAACCTCTCTTCAGTGTTATAAATGGAAAAAGTCAAGTCCTCCATCAGTCTAGTCTCCATCCTGCTCACCAAAAGAGCCAAAGAGGATGGCTGCTTCCGCTTCCACAGAGCAGGAATGCAGGCTTTGGCAGTGTTCAATAGATGAATCAAGAGAGAGCGCTTATAAGCTTTGCTCGAGAGCAGCGCAAGATGGAGGAGAAAGACAGCAGGGTTAAAAGCTAGGCAGAGACCTAGTAATATTCTCAATGCAGTCAGCTATCGCCTCCCAGAACAAGCGAATCAAAGGATATTCCCAAAAAATGTGTAAGAGAGTACCACAACCAGTAGTACACCTCCAGCACCGGTTCAATATCATGGGCTATATCATATGTAGTAAGGAAGCTACTCTGTACCATTTTGTTAACATTTTATATCCAGTTTCCTGAGTCCTATTAGAAATTGACGATTTACCGTATTTTGCGGTCTATAAGACGCTTCGGACGATAGGACGCATGGCTTCTGTGACAGAAATTCTATGACAGAAATTCTGTCACAGAAGCTGCAGTTAGTGACTGCTGAGACAGGTGGCGCTGTCTCAGTAATAACACGGAGCAGACGAAGAACGACGTTCTTCGTCTGCTCAATGGGCTCTATGTTGAGCTCCTATGGGGGACCGTGACAGGTTATGGTCCCCCAGAGGAACGGGGTACCCAGAAAACCACGTCGGGGGGCGGACACGATCGCCGATGCCGCCGCCGCTCGATTTAATACAAGGGATCTGATTAGATCCCTTGTATTAAACGAACAGCGGCTCCCACTGTACATTCAGCTCTGCTTGTCAGGAGCAGGGCTGAATGTACAAAAAGAAACTACTCGCCCGGCGCCCGAAACTGCATGTCCCGGGCGTCGGGCGATAGGTATTCGCTCCTTAAGACGCAGGCACATTTCCCCCCTCCTTTTGGGGGAAAAAAAGTGCGTCTTATGGAGCGAAAAATACGGTATGTGCAAAAACATTATATGGTGCGCTCGTTGGGTAAACCCTAAAATCTCCCTAAATCTCGCTCCCATTGTGTCAGAAACAGGGGTGGGGAAAACCATAGTTAATTGGCTGTTATGCTGACTTATTGGCTTAAGTGCTTTTTGAGTCTGTGGCCCAAAACATTTTTGCAGATTAGGAATCCTAATTTCTAGGTCAAAGTATTAATGGGGGAGGTCAGCATGGCCGCAAGGTAAATAGCATTTTTCATAGGAAAGGTCAGCAAAATGCAGTTGCTTTGTTGTTCTAATGACAGGTTTCCTTTATGCTATAAAAAACAAGGGATTCTATATGGAAAAATAAATAAATATTAATATAATTTATGTGGAAATATTTAGTTAAATAAATATGTTTTTCTTTTTGTTTGCAATCTTTTTATGATGATATTTTCATTAAACTTGATGCTATGTTTGTCAACCTCCAAGAGGGAAAATAATACCAGAACAATTCTTTGTAGACTTCGTAGCGGTATTAAGATGTTATTTGTGCTGATGGTTTATTACATAGCTTCTTATTTTTCCTGTGTGTTTACCTGATGCGTATTGTGCTTTAAAGTTCACATTTAAATGCTGTGCTCTTTTAAAACAAACTTGAAATAACACTATTAAAAGGTCAAACATGCAGCCTTCTTTTAAAGTCAAGGTTTATGTGGTTGCTTCCTTTAGTTTGGAAAAAATCTTTCAACATCGTAATTTCAATATCTTCTGCAGGTCACCTTGCTAAATTTTATGATCACTCCTGAAGGAATGCAGGACCAACTATTGGGTATTGTTGTAGCTCGAGAAAGACCAGATCTAGAGGAAGAGAAGCAAGCACTTATTCTTCAAGGCGCAGAAAATAAAAGGTAACATTTGAATTGGATATTTATTCTAAATAAACTTATTTGAAAGGAAACATGTTCAAGTCATCCCATAGAAACCAGTACATTTCTCTGCTGTTTTAATGGAAAGATTATGTTTGGGAGGCAATTGGATGCTAAGAGCAAGAAAAACACATACCTTTCAATTGTTTTTTATTGCATAAAATATTTATTCCAAAAAAACTAACTATATGAAGTATATCTTAAGTAAAAAAAACAAACTACTTGTAGTGTATCTTAGCTCTTCCATAAATACAGAAAATTGTTATCCTACTTACCGTAATTTTCTTTTCCTGGCTCATCCTCATGTCAGCATACTGATGGGTCAGCTCCGCCCCTCTGACCCCACAGGACCACCTTCTAAAGTGAATAAAGGGCCGACCCCCCCTTAGAACTCCACTCCCCCCTCTCGACAATGACAATAATTGTCTGGACTGACTCCATCCTGAATGATTCTGGTTTGACATAGACATTCAATTCTTTTAAGTCCAATACTGGGCGGAGCCCGTCTGAAGATTTCATCACCAGAAACAGAGTTAAGTAAAATCCTTGACCTAACTCCTCCATTGGAACCGGCACAATGGCCCCTTTCTGCAGCAATTCTTTAACGAGGACAAAAAGAGAACAGGTATCTAAGGGGGGTCGGCCCTTTATTCACTTTAGAAGGTGGTCCTGTGGGGTCAGAGGGGCGGAGCTGACCCATCAGTATGCTGACATGAGGTGAGCCAGGAAAAATAGATACCATACCATCTCACTATTAAAGTTTTGCAACTAAGTTCTATAAGGAAAGACACTGACTTGCCATGCCCTGTATGCAGTGGCAGTGATCCCACCCAAAGATATAGACTACAAATAGACATGTGAAAGCATTCTAAGAGCATGAAAAGTATCTGTGGATATCACTTGCCCTTAGTAAAAATGGCCACCAGGAGAAGAAGAAAGAGAAGGAAAAGAAAAAAAAAGGGTAAGCAAAGAAAAAAAAGCTGGCAATTTCCTAGAAGTATGTGTTTGTAGATTGCCATTACCAAATATTTGTAAAGGTGCCCTTGTGGAATTTTGAAGATAAGGGTAAAGTTCCTCTTTAACACTTTTAGTGTGGAGGTGGCCCCACTGCAAAACTTACTTTAAAAAAATCCTGGAGTTCCTATTTAAATCCTCTAACACTAATAGTCAGAGGCAGCAAGGCCTCACACTGCACATATACAGCTATGAGGCTGTAGACACAGACATGTCTAGGAACCCTCACATACCAGGAAGTGCTCAGGTATATTTTTCAGGGTGCTGGCCAAGAACAGTTGACACTAAGTGTTTCCTATAAGATGGCGGCAAATCTTTACTTTGAAGCTCAGGTCCAATTTATGGTTAAAGGAAGAAAAAAATTTGTATCTTATATTGAACAAACAGACGTAAGAATATTTAGAAGCCATAATTTAATTGTGTCCTCATTATATTAGGATTATTAGTGGTAAATTCACTGAATTATACTGCATGCACCTTCGCCACCATGTATTAATAATAATAAATAAAAGCTTTTGTTGGATGATCAGGTTAATTTACCACACTTGGTAGTTTTTTTTTTATAGTATTGCTTTTTGCAGTGTATGCATGTGAAGCCAATTTGCAATTATCACATAGATTCTCACTGTTATAATCACGTCTGCTTCTGATTTATGCTGCTTTGCTTTGATGCCAAAATAAAATATAGATTCATAAGAAAAAAACACAGATTAATGAGAAATAAACCTTTTCAATAGCTAAATAACTATTTTATGCAAACCAATAACAATTTCACATCCCTATGATATTTAGGTACATGAATTAAATGTTTTGATGACTGAATTATCATTTAATTAATAACAAACACATGAATTAATTACATAAATTGTTATGTGCATGAATACATATGAAGTGTTTGATCCCGGCATCATATATTATGGGTTCTAAATTAAAATATGATTTTGAATTAATTTGATCATTATTCATTTAATTAAATATTTATTTGATGGCGCACAGGTAAACATTTAAAATCTGCTCTTTTCAGCACTAACGTCTTGTAAGTTACATAGTATTTTTCCTATACTTCCAGGCAGTTAAAAGAAATTGAAGATAAGATTCTAGAAGTACTTTCATCTTCAGAAGGAAACATATTAGAAGATGAAACTGCCATTAAAATATTGTCTTCCTCCAAGGCCTTGGCAAATGAAATTTCTGAGAAGCAAACTGTGGCAGAAGCAACAGAAAAGAAGATTGATGCAACAAGAATGGGCTATCGCCCAATTTCCATCCATTCCTCAATTCTCTTTTTTTCCATTGCTGACCTAGCCAACATTGAGCCCATGTACCAATATTCTCTTAGTTGGTTTATCAATCTTTTTATAATGTCTATAGATCACTCTGAGAGATCAGAACATTTACAGACAAGGTAGGCTATTTTACATACATGTATTTTTTGTATATACATTCTTTAGTTCATATTTAACAGTGGGTCTATATTCATGGATCATGTAGGATAAGGCAGGACATAAGGTTAGTGACCCCTGAGTCCCTTATGTTGATGTTCAGACAGCTTATACATATATGAATATGTGTATGTATATATGTTATATATAATGTGTGTGTGTGTGTGGGCACACACACATTTAGATTTAGAAAGTGTAAATAATAGGTTACACCTTTATTCTAAAGGCTCATGTTGTCTGGCGTTGTTTTCCTCCATTTGACATGCATTTGCAATACCACTCTACAAAGAATATGGGGGCTTTTAAGTTGCTGGGGACTACTCTCTTACAAATTTACATAAAAAAATAATTTATTAGGTATTAACAGTGTTAAAACAGTGATAGACATCCATACAATATTGTTATATTAAAAAAAAGCAGATCCAGTCCTTATAGTTACATCTGTGGGTCACTCATATTATCTAGGAACATGCAAGTATCATATTTCAGTACATAGATATACGTGATTGTCCTTGACTTTTACTCTTTTTTCAGTCTTTTTCTTGTACTATGTTCTTGTGGCTAGAGTGTGGTCCAATGTGTTTCACCATTAGTCTTCTTTAGGAACCAAGAAAAAGAAAAGACTAAAACTTTTAATGCAAATTTATTAAAGAGTAGTCTCTAGCACCATAAAAGCCCCCAAATTCTTTGTAGAGTGGTGTTAGAAATATATGAGGTGGGTGCAACAATTCACTCCTCTGTGATACCACAAAAATGTCGATTATAATGCATTTGGAACACATATGGAACACAGGTTATCAAAATGCAGGTGATTTCAATTAAGCAGTACCCAACATGGCAGTTTAGGTATTTGACCTACTATTAATTGCACTCCCTTTCTTTGGACACAACATGTCCTATTAAAGGAGAACTATGGGGTCAGGGCTTTTCCCCATAGTTCTCCTAAGGGTCACGGGAGAACACAAACTAGCGCTCTCCCGTGACCAAAAGCTCAGTATACCGCAAGCTACAGCTCACGGTATACTGAGACGCCGCAACCGGAACGGATCCCGACAATACTGTCTGGATCCACCCAGCTGCGTGAGTGACAGCTGGCTCTGCCTATATAGAGGCAGAGCCAGCTGTGCCCACCCCTCCCCCATCCGTTCCGCCAGTTAGCACTGGAGGATCGGACAGGGGAGGGGAGGGAGCCGCGAGTGACAGTCATGGCTCTCTGCAGGGATAGATCGAGAAGTGAGCGAGAGTTCAGATTATGAGGCTGAGTGAAAATCACTTGCCTCATAATTCTTCTTTAAGGTGCTTTTGGACTACATGCGAAGTAGGTCAAACTCATTTCTGTGTTCTTCTTGTCTAATGCTGTATTTGCCTGATGAGAAAGGGGGGGAGATTTAAAAAACATTGTCACAAAGAGAAATCTTCCAATGGGGATACATGTGACAGATGTCATAGGTATAATTGCCCCTCACTTTGGGTAGATTTTCTCTCACTTCCTGGTTTCTGTGTCAGTGAGGCAAAATCTTGCAGAGAAGAACACAGAAATGAGTAAAAAGCTAACCGAGGATCTAATGTGTTCCCGTCCTATCCAAAGCTTAAACAAAAAGCTTTGACTGAACTTCTACTTTAAAACTCACACACCAACAGTGCCAAAGTTATTTATAAATTAAAACTACTCATAGCAAATTATTCTGTTACAGCGGAAGGGCAATAATAAAAATGTGCATGGAACTGGAACTAGAGTTGTTGCCCCTGGTTACCAATCAGAATTAGCTTTTTGCTGTGAAACCTGATTGCTTGCTTCGGGCAATTTTGTGCTCATTTTTTGAAATCAGGTTTAATGGATCAATCCAAATACAGTATGTCCACATTGTACCTCCGATAAAAAAACAGTAAAGTAAAGTTACAATTACTTTTTGTTAATTTAGTTTTTCAGATTATTTGTTTATCAATATGTAAGTAAAACTTGCAGTTAGCAAGATTTTCTGGAACTTTGTGTGGCTAGTATTATTTGTCATGGCAGTTCTTAGGAAATGGGCACTCTTACTATGCAATCACTGTTCTCAATGTATAGCTTTCTTATAATAACCATTAATTTTACATATTAACCCCTTCACGGCCAACGACGTACAGTGTGCATCGGGGCTGTTTACGGGCCCGTGACCAGCTTGTTTGGTGTCGGCCGGAAGCTGGGGAGGAGATGGACGAACCTCCATTCGTTGATCCCCTCCCCATTCTATGGGACCGGGAGCGATGCAGATTGCATAATTTCTGGTTCCATTGCTATCAGTGCTGGGCTCCTGAAGCCCAGCAATAAGCTATCGAAGTGTGATCTGCACACACGTTGGGTATCGCTGTGCACGCCGGAGCAATAATTCTAGGGCCAGTATTTTTGGGTATTTCTAAACTGATGACCTGTGGGGGCTTTTAAAGGGTCGTCTATGGACTTTATAGGGTACTGAATTTTGTCACCATTTCATGGACACACACAATCTTTAACCTTGGCATGTTGGGTTTCTATTTACTCATTGTAACCTCATCTTTTATATTTTACACATTTTATTGTGTTTTGGGGCATTTAAGTGCATTTTTCACTAAATTGTGGGGTTTGATAAGGAGTTGCGCTAATATCGTGCAACATAAAAATTTGCAACTGCCACCATTTTATTCTATAGGGTCTTAGCTTTCAGAAAATATATAATGTGGAATATATCTGTCACGTACCTGGTTGGAGACTGAATGCGTGAGGAGGCCTCCCTTGCACCTCGTGTCCGGAGGACTCGAAGTGGGGACAGAGTCCTGGCAGACAACGAGTGGCACGGGTGCCAGTGGTGTTAATACCGTGCAAGCTGAAGATTTGGTTCTGTAGCAGAACTGGGGTAATCCGAAATTCAGGGTCAACAAGCCGAGGTCACACCAAGCAGGCAGATAAGGTACACAAGGATGAGGCAGAGGCAGTCCAGGAAACAATTCGTGGTCAAGGGCAGATGGCAGGCAAGATTGGTCAGGGCAAATCTGGGTCAAGGCAAATAGGCTGGAATTACAGGAATCAAAGGACACAGGAATTCAGGAGGTTTGGAGACAATCCAGCAATATGGAGGTGCGCAGGCTGAGCTTAAATAGGGAAGTCAATTGATCAAGTGCATCACTTCCTGTGCGCCATTTGGCCCGCTTTTCCGCGGCTAGTGCGTGGCATGCGCAGAAGCAGAGGGTTGCTGACAACAACATGGGTGCAAAAAAATGAAAAGAAGGCCTCAGTCATAAAGGGGTTAATATTATGTTGTGTTTTGGTTTTGAATGATACTGAACATTGTACTTTTACTGTTTTTATTAGTAAAGAACAATACATTTATTGATAAAAATGTTAACTCTGTTAGTCACTTGGGTGCTTTCAAGGATGCCTCATGTATTTTTAGCAATACTTATTTACATTTGTCATTATTTTGTTTTTTTTAAGGCTCCAGATTCTGAAGGATCACTTCACATACTCACTATATGCAAATGTGTGCCGCTCACTGTTTGAAAAGGACAAACTTCTTTTTTCCTTCTGTTTAACTGTAAATCTTCGAAAGCATGAAAAAATGGTAAGAACTGTTTGAACCTTTAGAAAAATGTATCTGCTTTTAATAAATCTTCATACATACATCCATCGCAACATTTTGATGGCGACCCAAACAGTGACAGTTGGTCTGTAATACTTTTCTAGTTACATCCTGTAAACATCAGTCAGGGGTGGGTGCAAACCTCTTTAATCCCCTTAATCTAGGAGAAAATATAAATAAAAGCATGGGAAAATAATAGATTATAATTAAATTGAGTATCATCATTAAATGTAATAACCACATATAGGTATCAAAAAACAATATTTTTTCATAATAGTGGTTCCTAAAGTGACTCTGTCACTTACAAAAAAAGCTGCTGACCGATATACAATACATGCACATACTTGCAGAATTTTACTGTGCTCTACTCTGATTGAATGCCTAACAAAATTTATAGGTGCCTACACTTTGGGGTTCAGTTATATCAAGTGACAAATAGCACCTTGCGCCAAACCCTGTGTAGCTGCAAGCACTATAAGAAGTGTTACCCTCTGAATATATTCAATTATAATGAATGTGCTGCGCTTCATTCTAGAACAATACATAAACAAATCTCTATAGTAAATATGTGCTTAAATAATACATGCAATCAAAAAAGTGTTCACAATGAATCTTCTTGTAAATAATAGTCCTATGGAAAGTTCAATCATATATTCCGTGTTTAAATATACACAAATGTGGAATCACACGTATATAGTGCTCAAGATTTGTCCCAAGTGCACAACACTATTTATCCCTCTACTGTGAAAGTTCTTTGTACAAAGTCCATACGTCAACTCCAATTATAACCCAGGTGCTCCCCCTCTCAGTGGGCCGCTCACCTTATAAATAGACCTGAACAGGTCTAGAATCGAACGAAAAAAACAATACCGGCGCCTCCGGTTGCAAGACCGGCCAGCTGTAAAGTTAATTGGAACACACAAGAGGCAGCTCCCACTGGTTAAAAAAACCATCGATCTGGGAAACAAAAAACAAAACAGAGCGCCTCCATAGTGTAAAAGCGTAATTTATTTGTACAACACGCAACTGAAATTGTACTTACAAAAAGGTCGGTGGTTAAAAGCATGTAAAAGTTGATGAAATGTAAAATCTCTAGCAGCGATAGTCTGAAGGGATACAACACATCAGTGTCCTCTGCCCTCGTGAGCTCACGGGGGCAGAGGACGCTGATGAGCTCACAAAGTTCTTACAAAGAACTTTCACAGTGGAAGGATAAAGAGTGTGGTGCACTTGGGACAAATCTTGAGCACTATGTACGTGTGATTCCACATTTGTGTATATTTGAACACGGAATATATGATTGAACTTTCCAGAGGACTATTATTTACAACAAGATTCATTGTGAACACTTTTTTGATTGCATGTATTATTTAAGCACATATTTATTATAGGGATTCAGTTATATGTCAGATGGATGACATTTGCACGGCACTAGCACCCCTAGATGGCACTAACGAGTATAAAAATACTTATACTCGTCTGCGCCATCTATGGGGGGCCAATGCTGTGCGAATGGCATCTGCTCACAAGTAACTTTTCTTAATGAACCCCTTTATGTCTGCCACCAGCTTTTTTGTTTTTCAGTTGAGACTGGAGGCATAGGACTGGACAATCCACATTCCAATCCATGCACCTGGCTACCCCAGAAATCCTGGGATGAAATATGTCGTTTGCATTCTCTACCCAGATTTCAAGGCATTCGCAAGGATTTCATGAGGCTTAAAGATGGTTGGAAAGCTGTGTATGACAGTTTGGTAAGTGAATACATCTAGGTTGCAATAAAGTAGTATACTGTAGCATTTTTTGAGGAGCGACAAATTGAAAAACATAGTTGCAAACCTTTGCAACTATGTTTTTCATTGTGTCGCTCCTCTTCAGTGCTTTTTTAAAATGTATCTGTTATTCATCCTTTAGAAGATGACAAGGTTTAGAAGTGCTCATTTTTTCTAAGGTATAAGCCCTACATGCCCAATATTTGTATTTAATAATAAAATAGTTAAAAATAAATACCGTAATAATCATACTTTAATACTGTAGGTCCCGTTTTCTTAAAAGGTCTCCAAATGAAGATAAACTAGCCATTTACCTTGGTCATCAGAGATACATTGTGATATATTTTATATAGATATTTTGTATATACTGTACGAAATTGATGAAAGGGATGGAAAATCTTACTTACAATATAAGATCAGAAAAATGGAGTATGCTCACTTTGGGGAAAAAAAGATATCTGGGGGCTTGTTCACACTAGGAGCGTTGATCTATATTGATCAGGCTCAACACAAGGGAACATAGAAAACAGATTTATATAGCGCCAACAGTTTGCGCAGCGCTTTACAATATAGGGCAGACATTACAATCACAATACAATTCAAGACAAGATGGTAAGGAGGGCCCTGCCCGTGAGGGCTTAATAATAATAATAAAAAATAATTTGCTAATAGAGCAAATTTAGATCTGGGGAATTGATCCAACTTCCTTTGGGGAAAAGCTTTACCCGGACCACTCCACCTGCAAAACAGCATGCTATTAATATCTCTAATAGTGGCACTTTATTAACTCTGTGGTAAGAAACTCAGCATAGATCATGAAAGATTTATTGACTTCAAAACCTCATTCTGTGGGAAATGTGCTCCAAACGGGGCAACAAAACAACTGAAAAGACTATTGTAGATACAGTAAACTCATGAAAGGTTACAAAAACATAATTCCTAAAACCTGCAAAAAAAACATAATAATTTGCATGAAATTTACTAAGTGTTTCTACATAGCATCAGTAAAACAATATGCCGATCTTACAAAAATGAAAGAGATTTATAGCACCAGGATAGCGTCCAAAACAGTAAAATGAAATGAAAAATATATAAGTGTAATAGTAGGCAACAGTCTTGTGCAATATACAACAATAACAGGACATGTATGGAATACATGATGGAAAGGAGAATGTGCAAAATATTCTTCTTTTTTTTAAATGTTTATCATTTTCAATTCAAAAATTTATAAAGTCTGACTTATTCCTAAATGTCTTTAAGCTCATGATACTAGGTTTCTTTCTCTCACTTTCTTTCTCTCACTCGCTTCCTCTCTCTCTCTCTCTCTCTCTCTCTCTCTCTCTCTCTCTCTCTCTCTCTCTCTCTCAATGGGTGCAATTTATTTCTGACTAAGCAGGAATTCTGTGTAGAAAAGTGTCTGTTTCTCTTCAGTGTGACTAAACTACATGTCCAAAGATGTCTAATATTATCAGCAAAAAATGGAAACCCACGTCATCATTTGTCACAAACATAGCTGATTAAGAAGATGCTTACAGAGCCTTGACAAGATTGCAAGTCAGCTACCAGATCAAGTTTTTTACTTTCGGATGATATTGTTAGAGGAGCAGAAAATAGACAACAGTAGTACTGTCACTGACAGAAGCAAAATACATTTCATTTCAAGAAGCTGTTTGGCAATATCAGCTAAATCAGATAAACATGGGGGTGGATATGTATAGCTCAATTGCCATTCTTGAAGATAAGCAGAAGTAAAAAAGTAAAAAGTGAATTAACATGCTAAACACTTCAAGCTGAAGCACTGCTTTCTTGAGAGACCTGTATTATCAGTGTGTGATTGTGCTGTAGGCAATAATTGCAGGTGTAGTAATAAAAGCAGAGAGTCACATAAAGCTGGCCATACACTGTTATATTATTTTTTTCGACCTGCAGGCTGAATGAAAAAATATAACAGAATCTCCCACAGGGTTATTGTATTCTGACAGTGATGGGTGTGACACTGTCAGAATACCTGTATAGGGGCGGCAGCTGACTGGCTGCCACCTCTTTTCGCCCGAAAAGTTTCTGACAGGATCCTTCAATTATCTGATCAAAGGATGCTGGACGGAAGGCTGCCAAGAGGGCGAACCACTAAAGGAATTTTGGCTGGTTCATTAAGAACCATATGAAATTTGCAGGGTGTATGGCCAGCCTAAGTATATATATACAATATATATGAAGAGAGTTAGGTTTAGTTGAAAGGTGGTAGGCCTAATAGTCGGTTAAACCAAATGCTGCAGTAGATAATGGAACAATAAGCTGTCAGCATATGCCTTTTGTGTCATGATATGCCTTTGCAGCATTGCTTTGTGATTAGGGTTGGGCTGGATGTTCGACTCGAAAATCGCTAGTTTGTGTGTTCGCCGAACACACAAACTATAAGGACGTGCGGCAGTCTATTCGACTGCTGAACGCCCCACAAGGCAATGCGCCTTGTGGAGCCCTAATTGGCTAAAGGCTTGCACCTGACCATAGGTCAGGTGCAAGACTTTGCCCAATCAGGGCTCAATACTCTGTAAGAGCCATGATTGGGCAAAGTCATGATGACCAATCATGGCTCACCTGTCCGATGACATGAAACTGTACAGTGTTGGGCGGAGCTAGCTGTTACAGCTAGCTCCACCCAATTGTTTATGTTTTCCCAGCATCTGTCATAATGCCATTATGCGTGTGTTCGTTTTTTTTAAATTATTTCTATTTATTTTTTGTTTTATTTTTTATTTTGTCGAGTCATCGTCGTCGTGAACAACGCTGGACGTCGTGATTGACCCTGGATTACGTCGATGGATCAATTATTTTTTTTTAACAATAAAGGACTTGTCAAAATCCTTTGTTGTGGTTTTTTTCAATTAAAGGATTTTTTCAAAAAGTCTGTTTTTTTTAATTTCAATTTTATTTAACCCTTTAGTGAATGGGTAGGGGTACCCCTTACTCATTCACAAGGGGAGGGGTTGCATCTGGTTGCCCCTGATGTGAATAAGCCTGCCTGCACCCCCACAGCCAACACCCCAGGGCTTGTGGGGAAGAGGCCCTTGTCCTCATCGGCACAGGGACAAGGTGCTTTTCCAGGGGCGACCCTGGAAAAGCACCCTTCCAGTGCTGAGGGCATGTGGCCTGGTATGGGAGGGGGGAGGCGTATGCTTGCCCCCCCCCACCCCTTTCCTGCCCTGCCAGGCCTCTGCTCGGATCAAGGGTCTGGTATGTAATTTTAGGGGGGATCCCACGTCCCACCCCCTTTTTGGGGGTGGGGTTCCTCCTTGAAATTCCTACCAGACCTTAAGGGTCTGGTATGACTTTGAGGGGAACCCCACACACTTTTTTTTACTTTTTATGCAACCTATAGACAAAAAAAACATCAAAACCTAAAAAAACCTACACTTTTTGTCCTTTGATTAGTGTTAATTAAAACAAATTAGTGCTATAATTTGTCCCATTTATAATGACATTAAAATGATGACTTGTAAAGTTTGAAAAACATTGCAAAGTTATTTACAAATTAATAAAAGCAATTTTGTGTTTATTTTGCTATTTTTTTAATCACACAATTAAAAAAAACAAAAAAAAACACTAAATAACAAAATTAAACATTTTGAATGTTTAAATATTAATGGTTAAATAAATTTATATAAAAAAGCTGAGAAATAATAGCTATGGGGAGAAGGGGGGAATAATTTAATTAGGACCAATAAGACTTTGATCTGAATATCAACAAAAGAGATTAAATATATTGTAACAATAATAACAGTTAAGCGTCAAATTAACATTTAGATTAAAGCAGAACTATGGGGTCAGGGCTTTTCCCCATAGTTCTCCTTAGGGTAACGGGAGGACACAAACTAGCGTCCTCCCGTTACCCTAAGCTCAGTATACCGCGAGCTACAGCTCACGGTATACTGAGACGCCGCAGCCGGAGCGGATCCCTACATCGATGTCGAGATCCGCCCAGCTGCGTGAGTAACAGCTAGCTCTGCCTATCTAGAGGCAGGGCCAGCTGTACCCGCCCCCTTTCCCGTCCGTTCCGACAGTCAACGCTGGCGGATCGGAGCGGGGAGGGGGGAATCCAGCCCCCCCCTGTCACGTCAGAGAGCCGTGACAGAATCGAGAGGTGAGCGAACGCCGGTATATGTTCGCTCACCTCCCGATCTACTGAGCCGACCTGTGACAGTCTCATTGTCACAGGTCGGCTAGAACTATGAGGTGAGTGGAAATCACTCATCTCATAGTTCTCCTTTTTAGAGAGTATAAATAATAGGTTACACCTTTATTCTAAAGGCTCATGTCGTCTGGCATTGTTTTCGTCCATTTGACATGCATTTGGAATACCACTCTACAAAGAATTTGGGGGCTTTCATGTTAAATGTTCAGAAGCTTCAATTTACACAGCAGTGGCAAGAGCGCCAGGCGTAGAGGCAGCAGAGAAAAACAGGGTGTGTGGAGTAAGCTCTGTGTACTTCATCAAAGTTTTTAGGGTGCACTCTACACATCTGCACAAAGTCCATAACTGGTTAAAATATGTTATCACCTTTTACTGCAGCTTTATATTTTGGTGTCTATGTATTTTTCCATTATCTCTTGTGGGCATATTCTTTTGTGTTTTCTGAATACAGCCAGCTCTTTTCTCACAGTGTGCCCATTTTTACTTAGAAGAACCTGTCCTTACAGTTCATAAGTCACATTGTATGAATGTATATCCAACATTTACTGCTATTGTATTGCTATATTTATCACTAAGCGTAGGGCATGTAGGTCATAAAACCTAACAAAGCTATAGATCTCTGCAAGTGAAAGACCTGGAAAGAAATTATAGAGACACTCTTTGTTAAGATAAAAGTGTGTGTGTATGTATGTATGTGTGTGTGTGTGTGTGTGTGTGTGTATGTGTGTGAATACTGTACTTGGTATCTGTGCAACCATAATATATAGACACCCATCAGTTATAACATTATACTATTGAGTAGGTCCCCCTTTTGCCACAAAAACGGCACTGGCTCATCGAGGCATGTACTCCACTAGACCTCTGAAGGTATGCTGTGCTATCTGGTACCAAGCCGTCAGTAGCAGATCCTTTAAGTCCTGTAAGTTGCAAGGTGGGGCCGTTACGGCTTGGACTTGTTTTTCCAACACATCACACAGATGGATTGACTTGATTCGACTGAAATCTGGAATTCTGGAGAGTTTGGATGTCAACACCTCAGACTTGTTGTTGTGTCCCTCAAACCATTCTTGAACCATTTTTGCAGTGTGGCAGGGCACATTATCCTTCTGAAAGAGACCATTGCCATCAGGTAATACCATTTCCATGAAGGGGTGTACTTGGCCAGCAACAATGCTTAGGTAGGTGGTAGAGTGTCAAGTTAACATCCACATGTATGGCAGGAACCGAAGGTTTCCCAGCAGACAATTGCCCAAAGCATCACATTGCCTCCGCCGGCTTGCCTTCTTCCCATAGTGCATCCTGGTGCCATCTCTTCCCCAGGTAAGCATCACACATGCACCCGACCATCCACATGATGTAAAAGAAAATATGATTCACAAGACCAAGTCACCTTATATTGCTCCGTTGTCCAGTTCTGATGCTCACATGGCCATTGCATTTTGGCGGTGGACAGCATGGACACCCTGACCACTCTGCGGCTACACAGCCCCAAACGCAACAAACTGTGATGCACTCTGTGTTCAGACACCTTTCTATTGGAACCAGCATTAACTTTTTCAGCAATTTGAGCTACAGTATCTCTTCGATTGGATCGGACTACACGGGCTTGCCGTTGGCTCCCACGTGGAGCAATGAGCCTTGGCTGTCTATGACCCTGTTGCAGATTTACCAATTTTCCTTCCTTGGACTACTTTTGGTAGGTCCTAACCACTGCAGACCGAGAACATTCCAGAAGAGCTGCAGTTTTGGAGTTGCTCTGACCCAGTCGTCTAGCTATCACAATCTGGTCCTTGCCAAATTTGCCAATTTTTCCTGCTTCCAATGCATCAACTTTGAGAAAATGTTCGCTTGCTGCCTAATATATCCCACATCATCAGTGAAATCCAAATCAAATCAATATTTGGTGTCACCACCCTTTGCTTTCAAAACAGCATCAATTCTTCTAGGTACACGTGCACACAGTTTTTGAAGGAATTCGGAAGGTAGGTTGTTCCGAACATCTTGGAGAACTAACCACAGATCTTTGGTGGATGTAGGCTGCCTCAAATCTTTCTGTCTTTTCATGTCATCCCAAACAGACTCGATGTTGAGATGAGGGCTCTGTGGGGCCAAACCATCACTACCAGGACTTTTTGTTCTTTTTTACACTGAAGATAGTTTTTAATGACATTGGCTGTGTGTTTAGGGTTGTTGTCTTGCTGCAGAATCAATTTGAGGCCAATCACACACCTCCCTGATGGTATGGCATGATGGATAAGTATCTGCTTGTATTTCTTAGCATTGAGGACACCATTGATCCTGACCAAATCTCCAACTCCGTTTGCAGAAATTCAGCCCCAGACTTGCAAGGAACCTCCACCATGCTTCACTGTTGCCTGCAGACACTCATTATTGTACTGCTCTCCAGCCCTTTGGCGAACAGATTACCTCCTGCTACAGCCAAATAATTTAACTTTTCACTGCAGAGCACCTACTGCCATTTTTCTGCACCCCAGTTCCTATGTTTTATTGCATGGTTAAGTTGCGTAGCCTTCTTTTCACATCTGAGGTATGAGGTTTTGGCTGCAATTCTCCCATGAAGACCACTTCCGGCCAGCTAGACAGTAGATGGGTGTGCCTAGGCCCCACTGGTTTCCGCCAGTTCGGTGCTGATGGCACTGCTGGACATCTTCCGATGTCAAACGGAAGTAAGCATGTTGTGTCTTTCATCTGCTGCATAGGGTTTCCTTGGCCGCCCACTGCGTCTATGGTTCTCAACATTGTGTCACAGACTTACCAGGCTTACTCGGCGCGTCTCATTGCTCCTGCGACGTGCCGTCTCGGCGACGACGTCACGCCAGCTCTGCACATGGGGCGCTGCCCAGAGGTTAAAGGTTCAGAGGGTTCGTCACTCGGCGTTCTCTCGTTGTGGAGTGCCGAGTGACGAACGGGAACCCACAACCACCGGTACTTGTGAACCGCCGCAAGCAGCAGCACCAGTCAATCACCCCAACAGTGGAACCTCTCACCGGTCAGGAAGGGAGCAGGAGGATTGGACAATTGAGAGCTTTGGTCCCCATGGAGACTCTGTACCAAGCTGCACTACTAAGCGCAAGTAACCTGGGTCTTGTACTGTAGCAGTTTCCTTTGGTAACCAGTCAGTTCACTGTCATTATCTCTGTGCTATGAAGGGCCGCATATCTACCTGTCATTAACCTGTTGCATACTGCTGCCATGAATGCATGAACTGCTATTTGCTTGCAACTCATTATCTCTGTGCTATGCAGGGTCACATATCTACCTTTCATTAACCTGTTGCATACTGCTGCCATGAATGCATGAACTGCTACTTGCTTGCCACTGATAATCACATTGTGTTAACATTTTCACCTCTGAGAACTCTACCTTGCCATACTCAAGGTGTTGCAGGGCTTATATGAGGCCTATAAACTCTGCAGATACCCGGTGGCTACAGCTCTACCAGACTCCTGCCCCAAACCCCAGCCTCAGGGCAACTTTATTATTTTAATCGCAGTGGTACATGATGCGTATGGTTTCCCTACCGCACTGAGTGTAATAGGGAAGCGCTCACTGAACCACCGCGTACAAACAAATCAGCACCAGTTCTGCAGCTGTGATCCAGTTAATTACATCAGCCTTGACACATTGCCCATTTCTTTGAGCTTCTTCAAACGAGCTTGAACAGCACATCTTGAAACCCAAGCCTGATTTTAAATCTTTGCCTGGGAGAGACCTTGCTGATGCAGTATAACTACCTTGTGTCTTGTAGCTGTGCTCATTCTATGACCTTTGAAATTAAACTGTCTTTCACAACCTCATCTTAGTAGCAGAGTTTAGCTGTTCCGCACCCATTTTTAAGCCTCCTACACAGCTGTTTCCGTTTCAGATAATGACTGTGTTTCAACTTCCATATGAAATTGATGATCATTAGCACCTGCTTGGTATAATTGGTTAATCATACACCTGACTCTAATCCTACAAATTCCCTGACTTTGTGCAAGTGTAACGGTGCCCATACACCTTACGACCATCGCAAGACTTTTGTCTTGCGATGGTCGTATGCTTATTGAAAGCTCGTACGATCTGCCCACCTTGGACGGGCAGATTGTACTTGCGATCATCTAAAGCCCGCCCCACTGAGGGGCGGGCTTCCGATCACCGCAATGCAGAACGGGCAGTGTGCGTGTGCACCGGCCCGTTCCGCAGCTATCGGACGAGCAGGCTAGAAACCCGCCGACAATCGTACGATTCTCGGCGGGTTTTCGAGCATGTTGGTTCGACAAAAGACGTGCGACCGTACAGTAGAAACGGTCGCATGTCTTCGTTCACACTGCTCGATTCTCGTACGATCGCGGGATTTCGCCCGATTCTCGTACGAGAATCGAGCAGTGTATGGGCACCTTAAGAATTGATGCTGGTTTGAAGCCAAAGGGTAGTCACACCAAATATTGATTTGATTTAGTTTCTTTTTCTGTTCATTCACAATAAAAATATATATTTAGTTAGCTGCCCAATAAGTAGCTGCCCAATGTTAACGATTATGCAGCCTGTTGTCAGTGTAGCCTCCTTTCTATAGGGACACCGATAGAGATTTGAGGTTTTTCTACACTGCATTGTTTCTGCAGATAAATCAATAATATCGACTTAGAAACTCACTTTGAAACATTTCCCACGGATCTTCCTTTCTGTTTTAAAAACTTGTAATATTTAAGATGGATTTCATTTCATTTGTGTAGTATTTCTGCAATTCTGCATTTGGTTAACAATGTGATGATAGTCATTACGCTTCTGTAACAGTACACCTAGGTTTGCTGTGATGCTGAATTAACTTGTTATCGAGTAATACATTAACTGAAGCCAATGTGCTGTGTTTGCACTTGCAGGAACCACACCATGAGCCTTTACCTTCTGAATGGCAAGCAAAAGTGGGTGAGTTCCAAAAGATGCTCATCATTCGATGCCTCAGGCCTGACAAAGTAAGTATGGTAGCAATTTAAAAGTCTGTTCAAGCTTAGCTTTGATAGAATGGTTTCCTGAAATAAAACATCAACATTGCACACTGAATATAATGGAGCATGACAGAAAACTGTAACTGCAGATGTGTTTCATTTTTTCCCCTCTTGTTATTATGAGAAAATATTAGCCTAAGCACGGAAAAGCCGCTCAGTCAGGGCATGAACTTAATGCAGATTAGTTTATGCTGTATAACTAGAAGAACAGACACTTGCAAATACTTTACCAGGAAAAGCATGAAGAATTCAGAATTTCTTTAAAACTCATACATTTTAGAACGTGATACGGTGTGTATATATATATAAAGTTTGCAGCGGGGTTTATTGCATTGTACTGTGCCATTCTGTGTAAGTGCCTGTTCTGGGGTCAGCTTACTGCGTACCAATCTTCTCAGGTTCAGTGGTTGCTTGAAAGCCAGTATTGGGGGCTGAGGGAATATTTCTTTAAGTACTGGCTGTAGATCTTTGAGAGTACTGGCTGTAGATCTTTAATAATTTTGCGTATTACCTCTAGAGTAGGGTTGTAGTTAACTACAAGAGGGGTCCTGGTTGGGTTTTTCTTCTCTATGTACTGTAGCAGTCATTCCCGTGGTGTTCTTAGGGCAGATTTAATCTTTTTAGAAATAGTCTTTTCCCTGTAGCCCTTCCGCCGAAATGCATCAGCCAGTGTGCTCAGGTGTTTGTCCTCTGTCCTCAGTGTCAGAGCAAATGCGGTGGTATCGGATTGCTTGGCTGTAGATGACACCCTGTTTAGTGTTTAGGATGGAAGCTGGAATTATGGAGGTAGCTGTACCTGTCTGTGGGTTTTCTGTACACAGAAGAACAGAGTGAGCCATTGCTGACCGTTATGGCAGAATCCAGAAAAAACACACTGTTTACTGAGAAATTCATTTTAAATTTCATCGATGGATGGAATTAATTGAATGATTCATGGAAGTTTAAAAGGCTTTCTTCTCCTTCTGTCCATATTACAAAAATATTGTCAATATAACGATAATATTTGAATGGTTTATGAGTGGCTAGGAATCTGTTTTCTAGGTCAGCCATGAAGAGATTGGCATATTGTGGTGACATTTTTGTCCCCATAGCAGTCCCGGTCATTTGTAAATAGATGTTGTCATTGAAATTGAAATAGTTGTGTGTCAGTATAAATTCAATGAGTTTGGCGATGGTTTCACTATCATATTTTTGTCTGACATTATGGGAGGGAAGGAATTTGGTACAGGCCTCAATACCATCTTTATGGGGGATGTTACAGTACAAAGATTCCACATCCATGGTGACAAGTATAATATTAGCAGGTAGGTTAGTGATTTGGGTAATGGATAATGGGTTGTCCTGGGTTTCCTGGCTTGTGGATTTTGGGCAGCATGTAGAAGGTCCCCATGTGAGGATTGGAAGGTAACAGATTAAGTAACTCTTGCTGTATGTGTTTTGAGAAGGATTTGATAAGTTTAGTAGTTTCTCACTGCTCCGTCTGCAGATAATCTCAGCTGCTGGTGAATTGTGGGTAGTTGAGAGTATATTTATATATTTAGAGTGATAGACAGGGAGAGAGATAATAAATGTAGAAGCACAGCAAGTATATATTAAGTATTATATATTGTAGGTTTTTCAATAGATACAAGGCTTTAATTTTTTTGATCTCCAGACTACTTGCGTGTAGCCAGAATGTGCTAGCACTAATTAACTAATTAGTTAATGAGTTCATCATTTTACTTTTGTGGCCGATTAAGCCCTCTTAGGTCATTCTTTAATAAATGGTCTATTCTGTGCCTCCTACATCTCCGAAGGTTTTCCACCTAGTGGAGAACTACATGCATATTTAGTATATGCTAAATTCTGACAATTAATTTCACTTATTTGCTTTTCGGATTCAGATTTTCCAAGCAGTCTGTTAAATATACAGCTGAAAGCGTTTTGTTACCGCATTGTTACCCTAGGATGGGAGGTAAAAAACCTAAAAAAAATGAATGCAGCCACCACATCTAAGGACCAGTTAGATGCCACATATTACATTCCTTTTCTTAAGTTTAGATGGCACTATGGTGCTTCATTTATAAAACTTAATTTATAAAGCTATACACCAGGCGGATTCAGTTCACACAACACTGGCGCGGATTCCTATACTCGTCAACACCATACCGTCGCTCACTAACTTCTCGATCATGTCCCTGCAGAGAGCTGTGACTGTCACTCACAGCTCCCTGCAGGGATTCCCCCTCTCCCCGCTCCGATCCTCCAGCACTGATTGGTGGAACGGACGGGGGAGGGGACGGGTACAGCTGGCTCTGCCTCTAGATAGGCAGAGCCAGCTGTTAATTACGCACCTGGGTGGATTTCGACACTAATGTCGGGATCCGTCCCGGCTGCGGCGGTCTCAGTATACAGCTCGCGGTGCTACAGCTCGCGGTGTACTGAGCTTTGGGTTATGGGAGGATGCTAGTTTGTGTCCTTCCGTGACCCTTAGGAGAACTGTGGGGAAAAACACTTACTCCATAGTTCTCCTTTAATTGTTATGGTTTACTTACACTTTAAGCCAGCCATAGATACTAAAGGGGTGGGTGGTTGTTGGTGAGAGATATACACTGCTGACATCTCCAGCACTGGCCTGTGATTGAAAACCAACAGTGGTCTGAGTAGTTTTAGTCTGTGGATACTTCATTAGACATTAGATTGTAGTCTTACCAAGCCATTCGCCTTATGGGCACCTTTGCTTCTTTTGTTAAGTCAATAGAACTGTCAGTTAAACCCAAAAACAAAAATGTAATATATTGCAGCTTACCAATCCTTAAATGTAGTGGCTGCAGTAGTTTTCTTTTTTATGCTTTTTAACCTTTATTTTTACTTGTTGAGCTTGCCAGTAAGTCCAGAAAAAGTGGCAGATAAAGGGTTTGGTCAAACGATTGAACACTGGCAGGGGTACTTACAGTGGTTTGTTTTTATTCATTTATGCAAAACCCAAAAGGAAAACAAACACTGTTCATGTGACTACTTAAAATGTGTTAGCTAGGGTATTGGCTTAATTTGTTAGTCAAGTCCATGTAAATCTGCTAGAGCATTTAACACTACCCTCTCCACAGATTTACAATGCTTCTGTCCATGGGTGGCTCTGTTGCTCCTCTATTTCCTGTCCCCATTTTAATAATTCCTTTTTTCTTTTTTTTTCCTTTTCAATGACGTAACATATTGTTTCTTATCTAGGTTATTCCGATGGTTCAGGAATTTGTAACAGAAAATTTGGGAAGGCAATTTATTGAACCGCCCCCATTTGATCTCTCCAAAGCATTTGCTGACAGTCACTGCTGTGCCCCACTAATTTTTGTGCTGTCTCCTGGGTCAGATCCAATGGCAGCCTTACTGAAATTTGCTGATGATCAGGTATTTCTGTTTTTGTTTTCAATAACAATCATTGACAAAGAAACAAATATCCGAATTAGTGTTTAAAGTTGCTGTTACTCACCAGGAGTCTCTTTACATGTGGAATGTTATGGACACAGAGTATTTTTCTAATCATATCAATCATATAACTGCTTAATTAGCATAGTGTAGTGGGCTAATGAGTTCATACCAGTCATGTACATCTAATAGCGCACCAAAGTCTGGCCATACTTTTGTCTGAACACATTACTGGCTGAGCCAACAATGTGGGAAAGTCTGGGACAGGGTTTGGCTTTAAGGGGATCTATTGTTGTTCTAGCAAACTGGAATGTTTAGTATCAGAAAAAACAACTAAGCTTGATGTGTGCTGGTGAATTCTCTAGCCGCAAACATACCAGATCACAAAAACAAAAGTTGTACTTGGGAATGCAGAATGAATGGTGGATTCTTTTCTCGGGACCATAATAATCAGTGTAGTTGTAAATGATAGAAAATAACATATTGTACTTACTTGCATACACTGACACATTAGAGCTCAATTCACAAAGCTAACACAACAGGATAAGGATACTTTAAAAAAAAAAAAAAAAAGGTGACAGTTATTTTTTAGCTGGCTCCAATGGAATTAGAAAATTCCATAAAATAGAGAATAGGGATGTATCGCAGTCTGTTTTTGATCCGTGTAATCATGGGCCTTATAATAACATGGTTTAACCACTTGAAGACCAGGGTGTTTACTCCCCCTTCCTTTCCAGGCCATTTTTCAGCACTGCGATACTTTGACATTTATTCAGTCATGCAACGCTGAAATTAATTTTATATAATTTTTTTGGGGACACGTAGAGCTTTCTCTTGGTAGTATTTAATCACCACTGGGGTTTTTGTCTTTTAATATATTAAGTAAAAATTACCAAACATTTTGAAAAAAAACTGTTTACCCTACATCATATAATGAAACATGTATTACTAACCAATTTTTTGGTAAAAAATAAATGATGGGCTCATGTCGGCTAAATACACACCAAACATTTCAAGCCTTTAAATTGCGTGCACACGCGAAACCGCAAAAACCTACAATGCCCATAGGTGACGATTTAAAAGCTTTTACTGCTCATCAGTTTAGTGTTAGGAGTGATTAATGGCCCTAGAATTATTGCCCACTCTCCGACGTTTGTGGAGATACAGTATGTAGCATGTGCAATGCAATTGTTATTTTTGCGCGTAGGCACAACCAATGCGTATTTACATTTATGTGTGTATACGCGGGGGCGGGGGACTTAAAGATTTTTTGGGGTTCTAAGACCCCTAATGTCACCTGGGGACCCCCAAGGAAGCTGATGAAGCACAGATCTGCTTCACCAGCTTCTTCTCTGGCTATAGAAGCCAGAGAAATTACACCTGGATGTGGAAGTGGTGTAATACGGCGCTGAAGGAGGGGGGGGCGCTCACTGTTGGTCACATACAAGCAATCAGATGGCTATAGAGCCGCCCAAACGTGTGTATGTAACGGCTGTTAACGGCTGTTGAAACTTGGCAACATGTCCTGCTCGTGCGCATGCTAGGGGGCATGCGCAAGCAGAAAAAAAGCAGTATATTTACGGCGCCATTTAATAGCCCAGGTACATCTTTATTTGATGTAGGATTGAACGGACAGAATAGAAAACCTAGTCTGGACAGAGATTACAACTACCTGGGAGCTGCCAGGCTTGAATCAGAGAGTAGGATAAAAATAATAAAAAGATGGATGCTCCAGAATCTGATAAGTACAGTCATGAAGATGTGTTAAATAGACTTGTGCACCAGCAAAAAAATTGTTTTGTTTTGATTCAGATTTTGCTTTATTTTGTTTTTCGGAATTCGGGTGCGAAAGTCAATTTGTTTCGGAATTTGGATTCGGACGAAATTCGTTAGTGGAAATCCGTACGAAATTTGGTATCTAATTTGTTTTGTTTCGTTCGTTCGTTGCAGGGAAAAAAAGTTTTTTTGTTCTCAAATGTCACTTTGCTGCAACGAAAATTTCATCCAAAAAACGAACGTTGGTCCACAAAAACGAATCGGAAATTCGGATTCATTTGCGTTTGTTATAGCTGTAATTCGGAATTTGGATACAACCGAATCCTCGAATTTCCGAAATTTTGTCCGAATTTCGATTCGGAACTAAACGAATCGCACATGTCTAGTGTTAAAGATGCTACAAGATCTAAACAAGGATCTAGAACAAATGTTAGAGCAAATGGAAAAGTTATCAGTTGATGCTACATGGATGGCTCATGACATGGTGACTGCACGCAGAAATCCCGCCCTGGCTAAACAAGCGAAGAGACTCAATGAAGCTTTTCAGAAGTGCCTTAATGAGGTGGAGAAAAACTGGAAGGAGATGCTAGAGGAATCCAAGCCAGCATCAATCATAGAGTCAGAATGCTGTAATGCAAATACCTGTGTTTTTCCTTCAAACCTAAAATGAATCATTTATACTTAGTAAATATGTAGCTGAAGCATTTAAAGTTCATTCAGTTCATTTCAGGTTTAGCTAGTTCACAATATATTACACAGAGCGCTAAATATAAATAAAATAGCTTGAACTGAAGAAAAAAAAAAGAAATAGTTAATGGGTTTCAGGGGCTCATACAAATATTCCCTTCATCAGGTTTGGTCCAATGCGTGAGAATGCATAGAGCTCTTCAGCTGCTGATTAATCCAATGGAATCTTATGGGGATAAGCTGGCTAAATCTTCTGTCAAAACATTTATAAATTGGCCCTTAAATCTTTATCTGATTAAGCTCAGGACCTAAGTAGGCAAATTTATACATTTAAAATTGTGTTGTTTTTTTTTGGTTGTTCTGGTCAAAAACCAAACAACATCCAATAATGGAAAGGGGATAACCATTTTTTTTACAAACTGAATGTTTTAATCTATTTGTTTGTTCACTCCGTTACACCTGTGTTTAAATAAAGCTGGATTTGCTCACACTAATTTATTAACATGATGCCTCTACTGATATGATCTTCATGAGTTTACCTTTCCTCTTTTTAGGGATTTGGAGGCTCAAAGCTGAGTTCTTTGAGTCTTGGACAAGGACAAGGACCAATAGCTCTCCGGATGACTGAAAAGGCTATAAAAGAAGGGACTTGGGTAGTCCTGCAGAACTGCCATCTGGCTACTTCCTGGATGCCAATGCTGGAAAAAGTTTGTGAGGTAGAATTAAATACCTTTAAAAACAATGTACACAAAGCTCAATTCTCACTGCCTATGTAGACCTCTAAATATAGTTACATAGTTAGTCAGGTTGAAAAAAGACACATGTTCATCAAGTTCAACCTATAGAGATATGAAAAACAGAACAGAACGCTATGCCCACAGCTACTCCCTGTTGATCCAGAGGAAGGGGGGAAAAAACCCTATAAAGCATGGTTCAATTTGTCCTAACAAGGGAAAGAAAATTCCTTCCTGATCCCATAAGGTCAATCGGATATTTCCTTGATCAACAATCTCTGATGCTTACTATACCTATAAGAGCTCAATATCCAGTAATATTCTGTGCATTTAGGAGTACATCCAGATATTTTTTTTAAACAATTAATTGAGCTAGCTAGAACTAGCTCCTGGGGGAGTCTATTCCACATTTTCACAGCTCTAACTGTGAAGAATCCTTTCCATATGCAAAGGTTAAACCTCTTTTCCTCCAGATGCAAAGAGTGCCCCCTTGTCCTTTGCAGTGACCTTAAAGTGAATAATTTGAAACCAAGCTCACTATATGGACCATGTATGTATGTTTGCATTATGCGTACCAGTATACAACTCCACCCATAATGCCTCAGCACCATCACACTCACTATCAACAAAGTCCTCTTTCACACTCACTTTTAGATCACCTCTCACACAGAGACAAACCCTGCCACCTTTTCGGTCTCTCCGAAAGAGAGCATAGCCAGAGGTATTAACAGCAATACCAATGATATCATAGTTCTCCTCGTGCACCAAAGCTTCCAATTCTCCCCTTTTGCTGTGCAGACTTCTGGTATTAGCGAACAAATAATTCCAGCCATTTTTACATTTTTCACTTGTAATTGCTGTATCTTTTGTTGTAGTACAATTAGTACTATAATCTCCAATGTTTGTTTGCAACATGGGAATCTCCTTATCCAGTTTGATTTCCCTCCCCCCCATCTTCCCCTGTTCCACCCTCCATTATAGTCTGACCCCTGTTTGATGTATCTGCCCATTATATTCCTTCTCCCCCTGCCCCCTTAATCCTAGTTTAAATACTCCTTCAACCCTCCCATGAGCCTATCCCGCAGCAAAGCAACCCCCCTTCCATTTAGGTGCAGACCATCTTTAGCATAAAGGTTGTACCCCAAAAAAAAATTTAGTCCAGTGCTCCACAAACCCAAAGTCTTCGCTCATACACCAGGTCTTCAGCCATGCGTTTAGTTCTCTAAGCTCTTGCTGTCTTTCCTGTGTTGCACATGGCACAGGCAATATTCCAGAGAATATTACCTTGGAGGTCCTTCCCTTCAGCTTGCAACCTAGTTCTTTAAATTGATTTTTAAGGAACCTCCATCTTCCATGTATTCTGTCATTGGTGCCAACATGGACCAAGACAGCTGGGTCATGCCCAGCCCCTGCCAGTAATTTTTCCACCCAGTCCACCACATGCCGAACCATGGCACCAGGTAAACAGCAAACCATCCGGTTGAGGCAATCCGGGCTACAAACTATTCCAGCAGTCCTCTGAATTATAGAATCCTCTATTACCACAACCTGTCTAGGCCTTCCTGCATTACCCTCACCACCCGTACTAGATGTGCTGCTCTCCTGGCTGTTAGGGGTAGCAGTGACATCTAGAGCTGCCAATTCTGAGTCTGCCACCCGCACATCTTCACCCAACTTAGCAAATTTGTTTGGGTGCACAAACACCGGGCTGGCCTTCCTTTTCTGTGAGCCCCTGCCACTCCCTCTAGCTACAGTAACCCAGCTTCCTACCTGATCATCCTCACTTACCCCTCCACCCTCCACATCAACCCCATTAACTGCCCGCTCAGTGATCAGCAGACTCCTCTAAAGGTTGTCAAGTCTCCTCAGTGTTGCAATTCGCTTTTCCAGATCTTCCAGAAGTGCAACCTGCTCACATCTGTCACAGTGTAACGAGTCCTGGAATCGCGAGCCGCTTGCTTTTCAGCCTGGAACGCATCGGCCGCGTCATACTGCGCGCTCCACTTCCGGTGGCGGCGCTCCTTTGCGTTCCAGGGTGGAGCGCGGAAGTGTCAGCACGCTGCATAGCGCCACTTCCGCGTCCACGGACTATTTAAGGAGCTCCAGAACGAAGGTAGGGCGTTCCATTATTGGGTTCTATGCCCCAACAACCCAGGAGCCTCACCCTCTCATCTACCGTACAGCTTCAACTACCCAGGAGCAACACTGCCCAGGAAACTCCACCAACCCAGAGAAGACCCGGGGAGCCTTACTACTAAGAGCAAGTACTAGTGTTGTGGGAGATTCCTATCTTGTCCATTGACACTTTCTCTCTGCCGTTCAGTTTGCTTGCAATTAGAACTGCACTGTGTTTGAGACTGTTTGGTAGCAGGCTGTTGCCTTTTCAGCTATAGTACTATCACTAATTGCCTTATTACGTTTAGACTGTCTAAGTGGATTGCCTTGTACCAACATTACATGCAAGATACCTAACTAGCTTATAATTAATAAGCACTACTAGGTCTGGCGTTACTGTTTTTTGTTTTGTGGTATATGATGCAAGAATCCCTAACTCTCCGTTCATAAGGGAGAGAGACGCCTGGGGTTCACGACTGATTGCCACACCTGGGACCAAAGATTGATTTGGTCCGCAACTGTAATCCAAATATAGCCGCAGAACTACAAGGGAGCATTACACACAGCTGTATTCACCGTGGAGCTGTGGCTCCATTTGTGCATACATGTGGCACAGTGTGCGCTGAACAAACCCTTCAACCATACCAACAAACATTCTTCCGGGTGCAGTGCTTATATAATTTTTATGAAATTAAAGATAGTACTTACAGTTCCAACTTCAGTTGTTTAAACGCCAATTTTTTAACGCCAAATATGTTAAAAAGAAAAATATTTTGAACAACTGTGTTTTGTTAAAGTGGACTTTTACTCATATCTTTCAAATAAGAAAAACACACCTTTAGAAATGTGTAGTAATGACAATCTACAACACATACTTCTAGATAATTGCAGGCTTTGTATTCTTTGCATACCTTATTTCTCCTTTCTTCCCCAGTCTTCTGACACTAGCCATGTTTATTAAGGGAAGATCACTAGCTCTCCTATTACTTCCTGGATTTCTGGAACATGTGACTAGATATGTGACTAGGACATGTGACCATGCACATCATCTCAGGGGAGGAAAATGCCTTTCCCGAGATCTCATGAGATTACAGATGAGATTTCCCAGCAGTACGTCAAGTCACTTACATCAACATCATCATTTTAATGTCAAGGCAATCCCAGTGTGCATTGCTTTGGCAAACTGAAGTCATTTTGCCCTTTCAGAGCAGGAAGTGTATGCTCTGCAAGTGTAAGTTTTTCAAATCACAGCATTTTACACCTGACATGTCTATGTTATTATTAATCATCATACAAAGAGGGATGTATTAGTAGAATTAGATTTTTGAGTGTAAAGGTCTGCGTTAAAGGGTATTACAGTGTTTCAGCAGTGTATGATACTGCATTTGTAGTGATATTTAGCCCTCCATTGAGCATTAGATTATTTTATTGTTTTCTACAGGATTCCCTGATTAGTGGATTGATGATGTTACAACTTTGAAGTTCAACTGAAATCAAAACATTTTTTTTTAGCTTTGGATACAGTGGAGAGTGGTTAGAACATCTGCCAGGTTTTTATTGTGTTACCGAGAGATTCACGCTCTCTATTTGTCCTAGTGAAAGAAAATCCCACATTTTGGGTTGTCATCAGAAAATGAAAAGATGGGAAATCTTCAAATGAGGACACTAATTATGGTGATGCTGCTAAGGACCAAGATTTTCCCTCTCTTTGGAAGGATTTTTATTCACTTCCTATTGTGGTTATTGGACAGGAAGATACATGTCCACAGACACAGAATCAGTACTATCCTGGCACATCAGATACATGTCTAAAGACACAGAATCAGTCCTGTACTGACACATCAGATACATGTCCACAGATACAGACTCAGTACTGTACTGACCAGTGCCGTGCCGTGCCTTCTGTGCTGGGTGAGACACCCGCCGAAGCGCCGCCCCTGTCCTGCCGAAGCCCCATCCCAGCTCGGTAACCAAGCTGTGTGGGGAGGAGGAAGGGAGGAGACAGGGAGGAGCCTCCCTGTCCCTCACTTGCTCGTCAAGGGTGAGTCACTGCTGAAGCATCGAGATCGATGGCCTCAGTGGGTTTTTTCTTTTTATTTGATTGGACAGCTTGGACCAGTAGCGATTTGCCATTGCTCCAAGCCACCCACAGAGCTCACGCTTCTAACACAGGTTAGAGGCTGTGACAGCTCTTGCCTCACCAAGTTAGGTTACACAGCCTGCTACTGTGTAACCTAACTACTTGTCAAAAGTCGGATGTAGCGCTGCCTGTAATTAACAGGCAGCGCTCCGTCCATGACAGGTTACACAGAGGGGAGGCTTTCCCTGCTCTGTAAGAAGCCGATCTGAATGGAGAAAAAGCTGTCAGCTTTAGATTTCAAGCTGACACCTTTTTTCTTCTTTGCTCTGCCTCACCTGCCTCCCCTGACCACACGCCCCTGGTACTGACACACCAGAGAGATACATGTCTAAAGACACAGAATCAGTACTGTACTGACACATCAGATACATGTCCAGATACAGACTCAGTACTGGACTGACACATCAGATACATTTCCAGATACAGACTCAGTACTGGACTGACGCATCAGATACATGTCCAGATACAGACTCAGTACTGGACTGACGCACCCGAGATATACATGTCTAAAGACACAGAATCAGTACTGTACTGACGCATCAGATACATTTCCAGATACAGACTCAGTACTGGACTGACGAATCAGATACATGTCCAGATACAGACTCAGTAGTGTACTGACACACCCGAAATATACATGTCTAAAAACACAGAATCAGTACTGTACTGACGCATCAGATACATGTCCAGATACAGACTCAGTAGTGTACTGACACACCCGAGATATACATGTCTAAAGACACAGAATCAGTACTGTACTGACACATCAGATACATGTCCAGATATAGACTCAGTAGTGTACTGACACACCCGAGATATACATGTCTAAAGACACAGAATCAGTACTGATTCTGTATCTGAGGGCATGTATCTGGTGTGTCAGTATGGTACTGATTCTGTATCTGTGGACATGTATCTGGTGTGTCAGTCCAGTACTGATTCTGTATCTGTGGACATGTATCTGATGCGTCAGATACATGTCCACAGATACAGAATCAGTACTGGACTGACACACCAGATACATGTCCACAGATACAGAATCAGTACCATACTGACACACCAGATACATGCCCTCAGATACAGAATCAGTACTGGACTGACACACCAGAGGTATACATGTCTAAAGACACAGAATCAGTACTGTACTGACACATCAGATACATTTCCACAGATACAGAATCAGTACTGGACTGACACACCAGATACATGCCCTCAGATACAGAATCAGTACTGGACTGACACATCAGATACATGTCCACAGATACAGAATCAGTATTGGACTGACACACCAGATACATGTCCACAGATACAGAATCAGTACTGGACTGACACACCAGATACATGTCATTGTTTGCATTATGTGTACAATTGTCAGGCACATGAAGCTTATAAGACAATTAGCAGCATATTCAGATTTATTGCAGAGAAAGTGGAGTGATACTGATGCACATATAAAAGAGCAATGAAGGTCTGGGAAAATGTATTTTTTTAAATGCTTTCCCAGACTCCCTCAAGTGTCTGGGTCATTTTTCCTAGGCAACTAGTCATGTGATTTCTTTGGAAAGGTAGATAGGTTTAGGTATTCTTTAACACAGCTGTTCTTGCCTAGGATTGTGGGGAAAATGACTTGTTAGGCTGCCATGCACCTTTTCCATCACTTTTATTTTAATAACAAGAACTACTTTTTCACTTTGTTCTATTGTAACCAGAATATTTATCTGACAGTTACCTAAAATGTACTAATAAAAAACGCAGCATGGGCTACCTTAGAGTGGTATCTCTAATGTGTATGAAAAATTCTGTTCTAAGGGTTTTGAAGTAAACCACTATGCTCATGTCACAAGGAGCAGAAAAAAATCCTATTTATTTCTTTGTGGCAGAACTGCATTACTCCTGCTGTGCAAAACTTTCTACATACGGTTTATTTGTTCTTCTTAGCTTTAGTTCTGGGAAAATACAGAGTTAATGAATTCTCACTTTGTCTCACACATCTTTGTGCTAGAAGAGCTTCTCAGTGGTTAGTCTTGAAGTAAATAGTTTTGTGTACATCTGAATTGACAGTCTAAGGCATGTCTGAAGTGAAAAAAGTGAAAAGAATTTTAAGATTTAATGTGCATTCTAAGTATGCCAAGAAACTGAAACGTTAGCTATACAGTCAAATGGATTCATCCTTCGTTTAAATTAACACACACTGCTTGTCATGGTCCTTGGAAAACTGAACCATGTTTCCTTGATTATATGACACAGTGGGGGGTCCTCCACCCTGTCTTAGGTTTGAATCACTCTGTGCAGGGCCGGATTTACTCCCCCTGCCGCCCCAAGGCCAGGTTCCACAATACGCCCCCGCGCCGCCAACCCCCCTCCCCATCAATTGAACTCTGTGTTTGTTTCATTGTTCGCAGTTTGTCTTAAGGCTAATCCCCTCCAAACTGCTCCGTGATCTGGAAGGAAGGCATTGTACTGTGTTTGACTGTTTGTTGCTTATGTAATTTAATTATCTCCTGGGACTTCTCTGTGTCATTACACATATTAGTCCTCCCATTCAAGCTATCGGACTAATCCCTGCTGAGCCTGTTTCAAGTTCTCATTTGCATGGCCAAGAGGACCTAAGTGAGGACTAGAGGGGACTTTACAATTGACCAATAGGAAGTGGTTGTTTGGGCGGGGTGTTCAAACTGTTGTGTATAAAAGTGTATGTGTGCATTCAATAAAGCAGATTCCTGTTGGAACTTATATACAGCCTGCCTGGTGTTTGTTCTGAGCTATCACAACCGGATTGGAATGGCACATAGCTGTAGTTCAAATCCCGGAGCATCGGACGACCGAGAAATCAGATGTTGCGGTCTGAAATCTGAAGAGTGCTGGGAGAGTGGAACCGAGCGAGCAGGGGCTCGTTACACTGCTTCTTAGAATTATACATTCTTATCTGCTAATTTACCTAAAGTGTATCTCTTCCTGAAGATGTAATAACATATTTGACTCTGGGCAAATATCAGGGGTCTAATCAGAACAGGAAGTGATGTAGAGCACTTCCTGTTCATTCATAATTGGGGACACAGTAAACATACTATGTCCTCAATAATTTACAAACACTCAACGATCAGCTTGTAACCGCTCTCTATTCTTACTCCTTTGGCTGTCATAGGAGGCTGACAGCTGACTCCTCCCCGCATCGCCGGCTCGGCCTCTTGTGGCAGCCGACTGCTGTCTCCTCCTTATTTGGTGTCACAGGAGTCAGCTGTGAGCGGGGCATTGCGGGGAGGAGTCAGCTGTCGGCTCCTGTGGCAGCCGCTAAAAGGCTTCTCCTCCATCGCCCCGCTCGGCCTCCTGATAGTTTCTCTCCTCCCCGCTGGGCGCTGCTCTATGTCAGAGGGGACACAGAGCAGTGCCCAGCGAGGAGGCTAGGATGTCTCAGCCCTAAATAGCTCGTGGAACGTGCCATGGAACACGCAGTGGAACACGTGCATGCATGCCTGTGCAGAGGCACATGGCTTTGCACAATTTTATGTGCCAAACTGTACACACGCATACGCACATGCGCAGAACTTTGGCCGCACACGCTGGTTCCGACTTCCTGACACTCCCCATATGCATTAAATGACAATCTCATATTCCAGCCATTTGTGGCCGGATTAGGAGACAATGCAATGTCCGTTTTACAATAAGAAACAACAATAGACACCACTGGGTGGATAGTGATCAAATAGGTTGGAAAACCTGGCCAGTCACTATGTTTTGCCCTGATAAGGACAGAGGTGCAGTGTACCATGGAGATGAATGGACATCTGCAAACAGATGCTGATGGCTGCCCTGACATTGTAAGTGCACCTTTATAAAAGCATAAACTGGAAGACACATTCACAAACCACAGATAGACAGCAAGGGTGAGATAAATGTATCTCAGCTTCAGTGAATAAAACCCAAATGAATAGGCAGCCTTATTATGTACAGTTTACTTTGTATTTTATAAAGTGACAGTGCAGTGGATGTTTATACTTTTATGTTTGATCATTTCACAGGAGTTGAATCCGGAGACTACACACCCAGATTTTCGCCTCTGGCTTACGAGTTATCCATCACCAAATTTCCCTGTGTCTGTACTGCAAAATGGAGTAAAGATGACAAATGAGGCACCAAAAGGCTTGCGTTCTAATATTATCCGCTCATATCTGATGGATCCTGTCTCTGATCCGGAGTTCTTCACCAGCTGCAAAAAGCTTGTTAGTAATGCTTCTAACTATTTCTACACATGGCCTTACAGGGTGTTCTTCTTTTATAAATATGTCTATATCACAAAGGTTTTTTCCTAGCTAGCAAGGAATAGATGTCATAATAGCATCTTAATTAGGCAGCTGAAATCTTCCATTATTTCTGGTCATTTAAGTTTGGGAAGTATAGTAATGTGTGTGTCATTCAAACAGCTAAACTTTAACCACTTGCTGACCAGGTGTTTACACCCCCTTCCTGGCCAGGCCATTTTTCAGTATTCAGCGCTGCGGTACTTTGACTGACATTTATTCCGTCATACAATGCTGTACTGAAATGAATTTTATACCATTTTTGGGGACAGATAGAGCTTTCTTTTGGTGGTATTTATTCACCACTGGGGTTTTATTTTTTACTATATTAAGGAACAATTACTGTAAATTTTTTTTACATTATGTTATAATACATTTCTTCTTACCCAGTTTTTTGGTAAAATATAAAATACGGGGTCACGTCGGGTAAATAGACACCAAATATGTCAAGCTTTAAAATTGCGTGCACCCGTGAAATTGCAAAAAACGACCATATTCAAAATTGGCCATAGGCGATGCTTTAAAAGCTTTTACTGCTCATCAGTTTAGTGTTATCAGAGATTGATGGCCCTAAAATTATTGTATCACTGCGACATTCGCGGCAATATGTAACATGTGTGGCGTAATGGACGCAATCGTCGTTTTTGCACGTACGCGTATTCGATGCACGTTTATATGTGGGGGGTGGGGACTTTTTAAAAAAATTGTGTTTTTTTTAATTCTTCTTTATGTGTGACTTTAATTTTTTTTTTGTTTGCACCTTTAATTTAATTTTTGTTTCCTTTTTTTTTCCTCCCCTTAACTTTATTGTTATCACAGGGGGCTAAGAAACCCCCCTATGTGATAGCAAACATATGTGACAGGTCCTCTTTATGGAGACATCAGGGTTCTCCAAGACCCCTAATGTCACCTAGGGACCCCAAAGAAGCTGATGAAGCAGAGATCTGCTTCATCGGCTTTTCTCCCGCTTCTGAAGCTGGAGAGTGTCACAAGAATGCGGAAGTGATTAATATACACCACTTCCGCATTCTGACAGCGGAGAGGGGACCAGAGGGAGATCGTGTTCCTTCGTGTAACTTCCTGTCCTAGGATTATAATGCTCACCCACTGTATTGTGTCTATGGAGGAGCAGCACTATCACCCAAGGACAGAAAGTGGTGGGACTACAGAACACCTCCATTTCTGTTCATTCCCATAACATAGTGGAAAACCTTCTGTACACTGCAGAAGACAACTCAGCAGGGCTGATGTTTGCAAACATGCAGCAGTGGCAGAGAGCACAGGTGGTTACTACGTCACTTAATTTCTGCCAGGAGTCACAGGCATTTTCCTGTACTTGCAGTGTATTTGAAAGTGACAAACCATGGGGAAATGTCATGTATTGGAGACATACGTTTTATTTTGCCCATACTTTTAAAGTAGAACTAAAGTAAAAACTCATTTTAAATAAAGTAAGGGAGGGTTATAATCCCTGTCAGTGTGTTTTGCCATCTGTGTGATTTCCCTCCACTTTCTGTCCCATAACCACAACAGCACGTGAGAGGATACTTGGTATCGGCACCGAAACCATTATCGGTGCATTACTAGTAGGCACAATAAAAAAAAAACCTTAAGAAGCCAATATTTTTACATATTTATGCTTTGTAGCAGCTGATGCATTTGTTACCACTAATAACTAAAGAGAATTAACGTATTTTCTCACGCAGTTTCCAGTCACATAATAAGTGACAATACTGCAAGACCGAAGCCATTAAAACATTTTCATCCCCCATAAATGATCAAAAGGCTGAATTTAGAGCTTCAGTGTATCATTATAGGCTATATAGTAAGTGCTATGTCTAATTAGAGAAATCAGCATTTCCGTATCACAGCTCAATACTTTTTGGTATGCTCAGAAATTAAACTGTGATGTCTGTTAACTGAAGAAATGTAAAAGACAATCTGAAGTATTCCATGATTGGACTATAAATGATTTCTTTATTCTCAATCTGTTTAGCCGGAATTCAAAAAATTGCTATATGGTCTGTGCTTCTTCCATGCACTGGTTCAAGAAAGACGGAAATATGGTCCCCTTGGATGGAATATTCCCTATGAATTTAATGAGACTGACTTGAGGATAAGTGTTCAACAGCTCCACATGTTTCTAAATCAATATGATGTAAGTTCAACAGGAACTTTTTTTTATGTTTGTTTACTGTATTAATGCCCACCACTTTGTATTCATTTCTAAGCTATAATTGCCTTGTATTGTATAGGTGTAATTGTATTGTATAGTTGTATAGGTGCCGCCTTGTAATACTGGTGTTATTCATATTTACAAGAAATGGGCCATTATTATACAGTTTGCATGACTTTTCTTATATGGCAGAAATAGGCCACTGTTGGAACCAGTAAAAGAAACTGTGTTCTTGCCATTAAAGTTCAATCAGTATGTATTGGATAGGATGTCAAATTACCATTCTGCGATTTCCCAATAGTTACATTGGTTTATAAGCAGGGCCATGGCAAGGATTTTTGCATACACATGGGGAAGGTGCATTTTTGCCTCCCCGGTGCCCTCAGTCTTACGCTAGCGCCAGTCCTGATCACATTGCTCAGTCTACCCCAAAATCTGGGTCACACGTTAACTTTACCTTTCTGACCATGTTTCATGTTACACCCATATCTAGGGTGTAACATGAAACATGGTCAGATTCCAACCCCCCACTTACCTGAATCACGGGGTTCTTCTCCCTACAGGCTCCACCAACACAGCCACGTTATCCATCCACAGGAAGGAGGAACTTCAAGTCCCATCTGCCATCAGGGGACTTATAGTTTCAGAGAAATACATGTGCGGTGACATCACTGCATATGAAGTCCATTAACTCTGACTCCCGTTCATGTTATTACATATCCGTATCGCAGTACGGCATTGACAGGAGTAGGTATGCAACAATACCATTTTTTCAAGACCGAGTTTGAGTACCGATACTTTTGCTGGATAGGGAAGAGAACTATGGTACCTTTTTATAATAATGACTATATATAATTATATGCTGCTGTCTTTTGTAGCAACAATGACATTAAACCCTGACTATGTTTAATAAGGATACCTTAAGCGTGTATAAAATACCACTGTGTGTAAATAATATGTGTCTGTATTAGTAATGCTATCAGTAGTACAGAACACACACACATATATATACACACACATACATATACACATATACACACACACACACACACACACACACACACAACCCCTCCCCGCAGCTACGGCCAAACCAGAAGGAAGTGCTCTGACACTTCACTAACGATTGTCCTAAAATGTACACAGCGGCCAGGAGGACTTACTGTGGGGCGCTTTACACACAGCACATGTCAGGGCTCACAGCTGTGGTCTCAGCGACTCCAAACTCAGCGCAGCACAGAACAGTGGGCGGGGCGGACATTACATCGGCTGGTCCACTGCATTATTTATCTCTGCTTGTGCTGCCCTACACCAGCGCCGGCCCTGTTTATAAGACAAATAATATTCGCATAATTCATTATATACTTCCCAGTTATACCCCCCCCCCCCCCCCCCACCGGGGCTCGAATTATAAAAAAAAGCAGC